TGGTGCTGTGCTGACGCTGTGCTCGCCGCCACGTCACCGGCAGGATGCACTGTTCCTTCTCTCTCAGGCCGTAGTGAGTGGCCATTTTCCCTCACCTCCGCCCCCTTGGGGTCCGAGTACTTGATCTTTTGTCTTCCTAACCAGTGGTCTAGTTACTTACAGCCTAGACCTGACGAGGCTCCAGGGGAGCTGTATGGGAGGAGCACAGGCCCTAGAGACCGGCCACCTCCCGGTCGGTGACTGACCTGTTCCCCTGTTGATTTGAAAAATTGCCTTTGGAGAAGCGGGGGAAAATGTCCTTTAAAATCGGTTACAATTTATAGTATTTGTTTCTGGCCATTCATGAGACACCAGCCCAGGGAGGCAAACACGGCAGGAGGTTCCAGGAGGCCCATGAGTGAGGAGTGTGGCCCCTCCCTGCACCCCAGCCAGTGAGGAGGAAGCACCCCTCTTTGTCTCCCTCCCTCTCTAGTCGTCTTTTATAGACTGGAGTCCAAAGGCCCTGTGAGTTCAGGAGCGATAAGTGGGACTTCAAAGGCACTCGCGATCTGTGCAGTCCCCAGGGAGCTGTTAATGATCGGGTGTGTGGTCCCCACACGCTCACCCAGGCCAAGAGCACCGCCCTTGGACACCGTGTGTCCAGACTTCGCTGTTCATTCCAAGATTGGCTCCAGTCATGGGTGACTGCAGGCCTGTTCTTGGGACTCTAGGCCAAGTGTGGTGTGTTGACTGCCTGGGACCTCTTGTGGGAAGCATCACCCATCATTAACAGGGCTGAGATCAGTCTGGGGGTGGGGGGCGGGGGGGGGCAGCGCGGCAGAGCAGGCCACAGCGTTGGCCCCTCCGGGTCTGCCTGGCGTGAATGGGGCAGGGTGACCTGTGTCCCTCCCATATGGGCTCCCTCAAGCCTTGTATTTCTGAGAAGAACCCGGGGCTTCCCGAGAAGTTCTCTGTAGCAGGCTTTGGCCTTGGGTCACCCTGCTGCTGTCTAGCGGTGGCTGGGAGGCCTTCCTGGCCAAAAGTGTAGACGTTTCTTAGATCAGTTACCCGGCCAGGCCCTGCCTAGAGACTCCATGGGATCCATGTTGGAGACTTTATTTCAAGCGTGGAACAGGAGATGCCCGGACTGCAACGCCATGCGCCCTCAGTTCTGGAATGAGAGCCAACTCGCAGCCACCACCGCCCCCTTCCCCACGCCGTACTCTATATCGCAGTCTGTCCCCAGCCACGTTCTCCTTTGAGCAGCAGAGCCAACCAAGGTGGGGGGCGCTAGCCCGTCTGCGCTCTCACCTTCAGTGCAGACGGGGGTGCTGGCTTGGAAGACCCCACAGTGGGGTGACAAAGCTCTCCGGGCACCAGCGCTTTGTGGGGTGATTAGAACCCGGAGAAGCTGTTCCCCAGTACCCCCTTTCCAAGCAGCTGGGGTGTTGCCGCCCTTGGACGTAGGCGCTACAGCGATGGCTGCCGCATCCTAACCCGCGAATAGCCGGTTGTCTGCAGATTTATCTTTTTTGTCAGTTCCTTCTGTCTGTCTCTCTTTTTCTTTGTCTTCTTGTCTTAGGATGGTTGAAGATGTGATGTCTGTATGTTCTCTGTTGTAAGTAAATTTAATGGAATCTGCCTCTTATGCCAAATGTGCTTCGCTCTGCCTTTTGTTTCTGCTTCCAAGCCCTTTTCATTTCCCCTCCGTGGCTGCTACTGGCGTCTTTCTGGGGTGGGCCTGGGATCGGTGGGGCATGGGGCTCCAGGCAATGGAGGCTATTTTTCTGTGACTGCATATGTGAGAATGTTTGGCTGTGGAAACGTGGCTATCCAACATCTGCCTGCGTGTCAGGAATGGAACTCCCCCCCCCTTGCTTATTGGACGTCTCCATCAGAAACCCATACATTTCTTTTTTATAACTCCTCATCCCATGCTTTCATTTTAAATCGGGCTAGTGGGCGATTGCTTTCAATAGTACTGTGGCTTCACACTAAAATAACCACCCAGTCTAACCACGAGCGGCAACTGCCGCGGCTTGTTCTTGCTGATGTGCTTGGGCTGTTCCGAATGGGGCCCGCAGAGCACCTGCAATGCAGGGTCGGCTCGGAGTGGAGCGCACGGCCTCGAGAGCCATCGCCAGGCTGCCCTGGGCTGGGCTTTGGTCCCTTGAGACCAGGCTGGGTGTCAGCATGCCTCATCTGCCATCTGTGGGTCACAGGTGCTTTGCCTCCCCTGGCCAGGAGGGATCTGTGGGTGGCTCTCAGGGGTCCAAAGGCATGTGCCTTCTCCCTGTCCTTACAAGGGAAGCTGGCCTGGTCCCAGGCATCCGCAGCCCCAGGATAGGGTAGAGTCTCTTAGGCTCTCTTCTGCCCAGGGGATTTCTTTAGTATTTTCAAGCCATTTAGCAACTACGGGATATCTAGTTATATATTTATATGCATGAATAAATACATGCTTCCAGTTTGTGATTGCATTATTTTATGGCAAATGCCATAAATGCTGTAAATAGCCATTTATAGTATTCTTTTTCATTGTTATTGCCATTGCTAGAGCATTTTATTTGAGAGAACACAAGGAAGGAACTTGAGTGCCAAATTGTTCTGCCCATCCCGTTAACGTGACAAGCGGGGGTGGGAGGGTGGAGGGGGAATGCAAGGAGAGGGACCACCCCCCCAAAGCCCTTGCTTTGTCTGGGCTGGGATGGTACCAAGGAGGGGCTGGGGGCCAGGGGCCTGTCTGTAGGGTGGAGAAGACCTCCATTGTGACCCTGGGAATAACCCCCTAGCCTTCCCATGGGTTGAATGGAACTGTTTATGCTAAAAGTCACCCCTTCCTCCTGGGATCTGCCTACTGGCCCTTCAGGTGTCTGAGCTGGTGGTTCCTTAGCCTCACAGCCCCTCCCCCCATTATTGATATGAAGCTGAAAGAAAGGGAGCAGAGAGTCATGAACCTTCTCCATAAACCATTGTGGGAAAAGACATAAAAAATCATCTCATTTCAGCCCTGGCCCTGCTGTTAGTGAGAACTCCCCATCGCCTACCCCTTAAGCTTTCAGAGCACAGGAATCCATTAAACTCAAAGATCCTGTGAGTAGGAGGGATCCGGCAAATTCTCCCCGAGGACTCAGAACTTTCTATTTCTGCCCCGGCTCCTTCCAATGTTCCTTAAGTGCTGTGTCATTAAGTGCTGTGTAGTTTTGCCCGTCTGTAAGTTGGATCCTATTAATTGGTGTCATGGGCCTAGGGCCCCTCCCCCCACCTTAGTTGGTTCAGACATTTATGGAAGGGTCCAGATAGATTAATCCGCTCACCAAAATTTGCTTTATAAAATAAGAACATTTAGTTAAATTTAGCTTCATTTTCTGGGTCAGCTCTCCAAAATGCCATCTCTTCAAAGATTTCCCGCTTGATGGATCTTTCCCTTGGGGGCAAAAATAACAGCTGTTAGAACGTCAGAAGGGCCTGTCAGTGTGGACATGTCGTGGCGTGGATGGGAGGGTGGTCCGGGCCAGGCAGCTCTGCGGGGCCAGTGGCTTCCGTCCGCTCTGCTGCTCTGGAGTGTCCTGTACCTCTGGTTGTTGTGTTTACATTTTCCATTTTGTTTACAGTGACACCTTTAGGGTGAAAAAGTCGCCAAAACGGTCTCCTCTCTCTGATCCACCTTCTCAGGTACATATTCCCTTGTCTCTGTAACTGCACTGCTCACCTGGGGACTTCACGCTGCGGTGGGTTTTCTTCCGAGTCAGCAGAGCTTCCCTCCTGCTCACGTTTTCAGGAACTACCTGCCTTCACCATGGAGGGTCCCTCGGCATTTGCAAGGCATTATATTGATCCCTTTGACTTGGGGAAGAGCAGAGTGTTCCTGAGAGTCGGAAGACACTCGGGAAGAATGTTAGTTGGAGTCTCTAGAATCATTCTGGTTCAGTCCGGCCGGTTCATCGGCTGTGAACTTACATAGGACTATCAAGTTGAGAAAGTCTTCTGACTTTTTGTGTCAAGAGCACTGAATTATGCAGCCAAATTGGGAGTGGGAAGAAAAGGGAGCCCCCCTCCCCTAAAGGAGTGGGGGCTTGGGCTCGTTATATGAGTCACTGGTTCCTCCACCAAATATATGCCATTTCTTCTGCCCTGTTTATGGACCAGGGAAGGTGGTCTTCAGGCACTAGGTCATACCATTCAGGGCTATTTCTCGATCATAAAACAAGCAGACCCCCTCCATCTCCAAGTCCGAGCCAGCAGAGCCCCGGCCGGCAGACCCTGGCCAGGCTGGGAGCGATGGGGGGAGGTACCCAGCTCCAGGAATAGGGGGCCCGAGCCCCCATTCTCGGTTCTTCCCTGACATTTCTGGGTTCCCACCCTGCCCTGTGCAGCTCCACGCTCTCCTACGGAAGTGGAGATAGGATCCCCTTTTTCTACTTCTGGGGACTTACATGAGGATTGTCAGGTGAGAGCCGGAAGCACTCTATGTGCTTACAACTAGTCATCATAAAACTAGCAGGAAATTTTTCAGATAACCAAGACATAAAATCCCGATTTTTTTTTTTTTTAAACCCATGGTCACTCTCTGAAATAAACCATTGTAAATGGAGAGTAGTCATAGGGCAAAGAATTTGTTTCCTCGAGAGGGACCTTTTGCAGCAAGTCCAAGAAGAATGTGCAGAGGGTTTTGACAAGGACCTGTCCCAGCCACACGGGGCCCCGGGGCTGCGGGGGCGCGGGGGTGGTTTCGGGCTGAGAGTGCGTGGGAGGACAGACGCTGCCCTTCTCCTCGCAGGACCCTACTCCAGCCGCCACTCCAGAAACTCCGCCCGTCATCTCCGCGGTGGTCCACGCGACGGACGAGGAGAAGCTGGCGGTCACCAGCCAGAAGTGGACATGCATGACGGTGGACCTGGAGGCTGACAAGCAGGACTACCCGCAGCCCTCGGACCTGTCCACCTTTGTCAACGAGACCAAATTCAGTTCGCCCACGGAGGGTAAGCAACCCGGTGGCCAGCCCGGTGCCCTGCCCTGCTTTGGCGAGTGCTGCCCCTAGGGAGTGAAAGGCCAGGAAAGAAACTTCTCGGCCGGGTGACCATGCTGTCATTCCAGTGAGTTCACCTGCATGGGTCCCACTGGGCCAGGAGGTTCACCTGCACGGCTCCCACCGGGCTAGGAGCGAAGGCTGCGTTAAATGCTTGAGACTTGACACCGGCTGTCCCTTTACCCCAAGCCTCCTGCTCAGAACCAGTGCACCAACCTCTAATTCCAGGTCCTGAGCACTCGCTCAAACTTCACTCAGTCTTGGCTTACGGGGTTTTGTCCCTTCTGTGATTTTGCCAAGCACAGCTCCGGGGAGTGTCATCCAAGTCAGACTGTCGCTGTCAGTGAGCCCACCTGGGGTCTCTTGGTGCTAGTGTTATTCCTAGACCCCACAGGATGTTTGGACAATGTGGCCACACATTTTAGTCAGGCCCCAAACCAGAGGTTCAGCCCAGGCTTGCTAAGGAGGACATGTCCCCTTCCTTTGGAATGGGCCCAGGCCCTTTGCTTATCTCATTGGTATCTTCTTCCTCCTGTGTGTATTCAGATTGAAATATTCACACATGCACTCAGTTTGACTGGGTAAATCAAAATTAAAAAGAATTGCTCTACGGGGGTTGATTCCCCTCCCTCCCAGCCCCCACATCTTGGCTTCTATACTTACTTTCTTTTTTTTTTTTGAGACAGAGTGTCTCACTCTGTTGCCTGGGCTAAGTGCAGTGGCATCATCATAGCTTACTGTGGCCTCGAACTCCTGGGCCCCAAGTGATCCTCCTACCTCAGCCTCCCGAGTAGCTGGGACTATAGGTGTGTGCCACCATGCCTGGCTAGTTTTATTTATTTATTATTTTTTAGAGATGAGGTCTTGCTGTGTTGCTCAGGTAGGTCTTGAGCTCCTGGGCTCAAGCAATTCTCCTGCCTCTCCTCGGCCTCCTAAAGTGCTGGGATTACAGGCATGAGCCACCGTACCCAGCCTATACTTCTTTTCTTGTTAGGAGAGCTAGAGCCTTTCTTATGAGGCATTGCCCATTTCCCAATCTGACGGTTCTCTGTGCTCCCAGTCCTCAGGACGCCTTCCCTCCACCGACCCCCCTGTGAGGCTGCTGAGTCTAGCGCTGGGTCAGCATTTCAACACTCTGGCTTTTGTGATGGTTTTGATTTTTCCTAAGATCTTGATTTCTAGCAATTTTCTAAAACTAAGTGAAATTGCTATGAGGATGATCACACACCATAAAAGTCTTGTCTCTACTTTTTTGCTGCTAAAAAGGGACTGAGATCGTTGAATGGCCTCCCTCCCCCAACCGGGCTGGTGATGGTGTGGTGCAGACGAGGCAGGTTTTGATTGTACCTCTTTCCTCTGGAGGCTTTTCCTTGGTCAGGCCCATGAGGTCTCAGGATGGCTGCAGCGTGCATTTACAGTGAGATCCATCTCATGTTTTTCAGAATTTCGGTTGCTTATATTCTGCCTACAGGAAGCTGCCTTTCTAAGTTTGACAATGAAAAGATGATGCAAATAATCTATACTTGTGCTTTTTGACATTTTATTTTCTGCAAAATAGAGCCTTCCGGTTAGCTGGCTGGTTGGTTCTCTGGCTTGGGGTTTGAGAGGCCTAAAAGCGACCATCTCACCTGACACCCTCAAGCCTAAGATCTGGCCTCCCCCTGATCCTCATTTTCCCCTGGGTTGCCCCTTGCTCAGCTGCCTTTGCAGTGCTGCTGGGGACACCCTCCCACCCCACCGTTTCCCATCCTTGCCTGTCCCAGTCCTGTGCCCTCCCAGCCTTTCCCTGGATGTCCATTCTCGGCTCTGCTTGCCTTTGGTGCATCGTGTTGGCCGAGCTGGGACACTTACCTCCATACTGATGATTTTTGTGCATTTCTTGCTTCCCTACTAGATTGTGTTTCCTAAAAGCAAGAACTTTGTCTAGCTCATCCTGTGTTCCCACAGCAGCCTGAACATCGCAGGGGTAAAGACAGGTTTGTGAGATGAAGGTCATACAGGGTCAGGCAACTTAGTGTCAGCTCAGTCAATCTGATCTTTGCAATGGGCATCACCTGTGCCAGGTGTAGGGGGAGAGGTTTTATGTCCCAGAAGAAGCAAGGGACATTTGAGCACAAGCATTGGGCTTGGCCATTTTGATAAGAACTGTGGTTTCCTGCTGGGTTACATCTTAAGAGCTTGATAAGAAATTTCTAAATGTCAGAGAAAAGTATTTAGAAACCAGCCTGGGCTTGGACTTGTAGGTCAGAATCAAGGCATATGATTCTGATATGTGTGTGCATTTAGTTTTATCATCAGGAACCAAATACATGCATTTTTTTCTTCGAAAATATAAAAATCCTGGTAGTACTTTTTTTTTTTTATTTTTATTTTTTTATTTATTTATTTTTTTTTCTGGTAGTACTTTTAAAGCTACTATGTACCTCATTCAATGGTAACATCTGTCCGTCCGTCTTTAACATTGTACCAGCGTAGACACTAGCTCAGTAACATATTTGACAATTGTTTGTTTCTGCAAAAATTCAACAGGTAGGTGTAAGTTTGGAACAGAATTCTGTTAAATCTGTCTCCTTGGAAAATGATTTTGAAGACTTTGGGAAGTGACAGCTATGATTTTTAGCTGGCGGGCAATCAAAAATCCATCCATGTGAAGACGAAACAGTAACAGTTACAGCAGGTGCCAGCCCTGCTGTGTCCACCTCTGAGATAGATGCCCAGCTCCCTCCAGCATCCGGATGTAGAAACTGGACGCAGAGCTCTTTTGTCCCATCACGCTTCCCGTCCATGTAACAGGGTCAAGCCTGGCTCTGCCAGACACACACTCGGGTGCTGATGGGATTGTCAGGATGATTCTCTGCGGGGCCACAGCCGTGATCTGAGACTTTCTTACATCAGAGTCACCAGCCACAGGAAAAGGGGATGTGGGGCTAGAAATGATAATTGCTCTTTGAACCCGTATTCACTGTAACGTTAACTCTACAGGTAGCAATAAGAAAGCAGGAAGTGTCGTTGGTCGAACACTTAACTTTGAGCTGTGTGAAACCTTTTACAAAATACACAATTTCATTTCATCCACAGAGTGGATTTTTGCAATTCCCCATTTTAAGGACGAGGAAACAGAGGTCTGGGGCTGTTAGCGACTCCCCCAGGGTGGTGGGGGAGTCCAGGGAGGACCAGGTCTGCCTCGCAGCTGAAGGCTTCCCACTTGCACCTGTGGAACTCGGGTGTCAGACGAGTCTCGCTCCCCGCCCGGGTCCACAGGAGCAGTGCTGAAAGACCTTCCAGTTGTCTTCAATGTTTCAAAAACCCGAATGGAGCTAGTTTAGAAAAGTACCCCAGCGATTAAAATACCATGTTTGGACTGTAATTGCATCTCCCACTGACTAAAAACTCGGATTGACAATTATAAATGGTTTTCTTTGCATTTCTTTGCTCCGTAGTAAGTGCTCTTTTTTGGTGCAGCCTTTTAAAAGGTGTGGTGCTAGGGCAGAAACCCTGGTCCGTGTGGTCCCTAGGGATAAAAATATTAGGAACCATTGGGCTACACAGCCTGAGACCTCTCCTGCCTCTGTCCAAGAGACCCTGAGAGAGCAGCTGTCTTTAGAGTCGCAGGTTTGGGTGGCCCTTTGGTGGCCACCCAGTTTCCTTGTTTCCCCGCGACAGCTACCTCAGCCCCTCCTTCCCACCTGCGACAGAGAGAAAGCGCCCTTCTCGGGAGCCTCATCCGTTCTGTAAGGGGGACACCATCGCTGTCATGCTACACATGTAGAAGGGAGAGGGCGAGGAAAAGGAGCAACGTCCTTGTCCCTTTACAAAGGGCTCTGCTCTTCTCCCCTAACAGAATGTCACTTATGTTAAAAGTTCCAGAAATGTTAGCAATAAGCAGTAATACTCCTGACCCCAGTCCCTCACATTGGTATAATCTATCGTAGGGCTTTTGTATTACGTTATTTCATTTCATCCTACAAAATGTCAGTACCCCAAGCTCCATTTGGTGAGTCGGTAGGCATGGAGAATTCTGGCGAGTTGGCTTTCCTGGTCCTGGGAATGATGACCTGGACTTGGCTGCATCCTTCTGGCTTCTCTTTGCGGTCCCCCGCAAACCTCGAGCACTTAGAGTCGGAGGAAAGCATCAGCGAAGCCCTCTCGCTGTGTGGTGTCCCGGTATAAAATCATTACCAAAAGCAGCCCTCAGATGACAGGACCCATTAAAAATAACTCTGGGCCTTTTTGACTTGAAGGAGCTGCATGCTTTAGCAAGTGACTGTCTCCTTTGGTTGCAAAGATGATGTACCCCTTGGTGACACTGATGTCACCCAGCCTGCCAGCTGTGTGTGGCATGATGTGAAAATGGGGCTAAAGTTGGATGTGGCATCACCCCCAGGCCTACCCTTTGAGGCTTAGCATTTAAAGCAGACATGAGTAAGATGTTGAAAACCAATTTCAGGAGGATGTTTCCTCAAATTATGGGCGATCACCCAAGATGACAGGAAGAGATATTGATCTTTCTTACATCCTTTCCAGACCAGTTTGTACATTATAAACGAGGGCACAAAATGGCCGTGATTGGAAGGAGCAGGGCGTATTCGGAAGGGGAATCTTCAGGTGTCCGTAACCTGGGATTGTCGAGGGAGGGGTGAAGGCCTCCTGGAACCAGGCGTCTTGCACATGGAAACATTTCTCTGGGGGAGTCGAAGACCCCATTGTTGTACCATCAGTTGCTGCTTCTGAAGGGAGGAATGGGGGACACGGGGCAGTGGGAGGGGACACCCTCTTGGCAGGTAGGAAAGAGGGCGGGTGAGTGAGCTGGGTGACCCAAAACTCTCCGGATTCAGCTGCCAGGAAGAGTTCAGGTTGCAATTAGACGCTGTACGGGAGCAAGCTGGCAACCAGAGCTGGCTACTCACCTGGGGCCATAGGCCCTGGAAAATCTCTGGTGGTCCCTTGCTTGTCCTGGGTGCTCCATACCATTCTGGAGTGTGTTGAGAGGTTTCTGTTAAATAATTTTTGTATAATGCCTTGGCAAGAATGATGATACCTTGGGGGAAGCAGCTGATTCACTATTATCTTCTCCACTTAAGCAGTCTGTAGAACAACAAAACCATGGCCCTGGGGTTCTACACTTAGGACGTGAGACATCTAAAGAGAATCCCCAAATCACCTTGTCCATCTGTTTCCCTCCTGCTTCTCATTTTTAAGGTGAGGAGGAGATTAGGTATAGCTTACATGATGGTTGCAAATACACTTTCTGCACTCTAGCCCAGCAGGATGTGGTTTGTGCTAGTCTCTGTGCTTTCCAAGTTGACTTTGTTTTTTTCAGAGACAAGGTCTTGGTCTGTCACCCAGGCTGGAGTGCAGTGGCCTCATCACATAGCTCACTGCAACCTCGAGCTCCTGGGCTCAAGTGATCCTCCTGCCTCAGCTTCCTGAGGTGTGCACCACCACGCCTAACTAATTTTTTCCATTTTTTGTAGAAATGGGGTCTCACTCTTGTTCAGGCTTGTCTTGAACTCCTGGCCTCAAGCCATCCTCCCACCTTGGCCACCCAAAGTGCTAGCATTACAGGCGTGAGCCACCACACCCGGCCTTTTTGACATTAAATCCACAGAGCCATCTTTAATCCCATGAGCAGGTCGTGCCTACTAGAAGGACGTGTTTGATTCACCAGGGAGACTCAGAGATTCCTGAAAAGTTGTCCACGTGTTTAAGGGCTTGAGTTTATTCAGCCACAACCACACACACTTGAAGGATTTAAGAAAATCTTCCAGGAAATATCTCATTCTGCATTGATATTAAGGAATCATATTTTTTCAGTGATGCCTTCAACAATGTGCAGAAATAAAGGGGCTTTAAACCAGAACTGCTGTTTATACTTATTTTCATCTGAAAAAAAAAATCCAGGCAGTCAGCTTTATGGATTGCCACGAAGGCTTTTTCACAGCTGGTTTTTGAGCATGTCATTCATCATATCTTGGTTTTCTTTTTAAGCAGAAAAGGAGCATCTGGTAGCTCTAGGCTGTGGCTTCCACGAGGACAGACGTCCATTGTGGTCTCGTTCACCACTGTGTGCCAGGCACATAGTAGGTGTGCAGTCTGTTTACTGGACTGCTCGGTTGGGTGTGTGTGCTCTTTCTTTCTGGGTGTGGCTGGTTGGTTGCCTGAGGCAGGCGGTTTTGTTTTTTGTGTCTTTTGACTGTCGGAAATAGTCTTTGCAACCTAACGTCACCAAATCCATTTGAAATGGGTCATTATTTCTCCACCTAGTTGGACTTTACTAGTCTTTTCATTCAAAAATTTGATTTGAACTAGCCCTGCAGGCACGGTGGAATTTTGGGAAAGGTTCGGGGGACTTGAGAAGCTTCTCTTACGGGCCACACTGGAGGAGCAGTGTCATTCTTCCCTCGATTCGGAGGGTGGTTGCGGCTGAATGCTCAGAGAGGGAGCAGCTTGGGTCCAGTTCCCAGATGTCACCAGGATGTATCATTTCACATGCCGCACACGAGAGCTCCAGAGAAGACCCACACCCCCAGCGCACACGCTCCCTGATCTGGAAACTCGGCGCAGAGTGAGACCTGTGTGTGGCCGTGCTGTCGGATGTCCCGGGACTCTCGGACTCCCTACCGGCAGAAGCCCCTTCACGGCAAGGGGTTAACCGGGGGTCTGAAAGCAGCCGAGCCGAGCCTCCCCTTGGCTACACTGCACGTCTGTAGTCAGCGGGCGCCCCAACCGCCCAAAACCCTGTTCTAGGCCTCACCCTGCCCGGCCCAAATCCTCCCTTTTCTTTTTTAGGCACTAACCTGGCCTTCTGTGTTTTTTGCAGAGTTGGATGATTACAGAAACTCCTACGAAATCGAATATATGGAGAAAATTGGCACCTCCTTACCTGTAAGTTCTGCCTGCAGGGGGCGCTGTCCTGTGCGGGGCATCTCTGAGAGCTCACGTCCCCAATCCAGCACTCTGTCCCCATGGCATCCTGGGTGCCCGGTGATGATGGGCTGGGGCTAGAGGTTTGTGCTCAGTGCACTTCATTTGGCATTTTCAGGGAGAAAGTGATAGGTTTCTTTAAAAAGCGTGGGCAGTGCTTTTAAGGTGTGTTGTTAGCTGTTTTTGACAAATTGTTTTTAAGTATCCGAATATTGTCCTTTCCTCGCATTTTTAAGTGGTTACAATGGGCGGCTGTCTTCCCTGGCTGGACTCCTGCTGCCCCGGGGCATTCTGTTCCATGCGTGACATCTCGCTGTTGTCCCGCGATGCCCTCAGAGACATCACGGGAGGGCCTGCTCACAACACTAGCCATGGACAGGTTGCTTTTATCTTTATCGTTCTTGGCATCCTTTGTAGATGCTGGGGTTGCTGCTTTTAAACCACAGGCTGCTGTAAGTTAGACCTGAGGGCTGGGCGGGAAAATGCGCCCATATACAGAGCTAGCGCAAGAGCCGGGTCAGTCGGGTCAGAGCTCCCGGAGCAAAACGCACGGGTATGCCATCATCCCTCGGTGAGAGAGTGGAGGCCGCCCGCGTACATAACACCGAGGGCGAGACACTTTGCCACCGGAGCATCCCTGTGTTTTGATAGCTTTGATTTAAGTGGACTGGGGCCACAGGGTGCCCGTGTGTGTTGGGCGCCGTCTCCTGGCCGGTGCATGGGCCTCGGGGATGGATTTCGTGAGGAGCGTGTCCCGCTTAGGAAGCGCAGAGACACTCAGATTTTCACGGTGGCGCTGAGCAGCATGCTCACTGGCCGTTGCAGCGGCTTCTTTGGGGACCCTGGCAGGGCATGTGGAGGTCTTCCCTTCGCTGACAGATACCAGTCCCCATTTCTGGGCCCGGCATCCTCGATGGCACAATCCCTGTGCACTAGTCCGGCCAAGCTGCCCTCCAGGCCCAGACCCTGCCCTGGGCTTGTCCAACTGTGGCCAGCCCTGGACTGGCATCTTGCCTTACCCTCTGCTTGTCCTCAGTGGCCGGTGGGCTCCTGGCCCCATGAGGGCGGCCAGTAAATGTTGATGGATCACACAGGTCCAGTGCACAATGGCATCAGCTCACCGTCCCCTTGCCGATTCCTTCCTGCACCCAGTCGAGCTTTCTCTGCCTCCTCTTTCCCTCCCGTCCTCCCTTACCCGGCCCCACTTCTCCTCTCTTCCTGGTGGCTCAGGGAAATGAGCCTTTTCCCTGATGGGTTACTTGTCCCCTATTGAAGAGTGTCCGGTTTTCATCTCGGGGCACGTTTGGGCACGTTCGGGCCCGCGGTGCCCGAGCTGACATGCGACTTTGATCCCTGCAGCAGGACGACGACGCCCCGAAGAAGCAGGCCTTGTACCTTATGTTTGACTCGTCTCAGGAGAGCCCGGTCAAGTCCCCTCCCGCCTGCATGCCGGAGTCCCCGACGCCGTGCTCTGGGTACGACTCCCGTCGCGCGCGTGGCCTCCCGCTCGCTGTTCTCCTGACCTCATCTCACCTGCGCAGATCCGGGTGGCCCGAGTTCCTGTGTCCGAACGTCCACAGGGACGTAAATGTGCTGGTTTTGTTATGGGCTGCCCTTGGGACCAGGGCAGAACCCTTGAACAGCAGACTGTGCCGTGTCCCTGGGCGACCCCAGGGCTCGCACACTCTGTCCTCTGTCCGACGGGGGTGGGGGGCTGGCGTGGCACAGCACGCAGAGCCTGAATCCCACCTCCACCCCTTCCTGGTTGTGTGACCTGATGTGGGTCACTTGACCCCCCCTTGCCTCAGTTTACTTGAGTGCAGAGTGAGAGTGATACTAAACCAGACCTCGCCAGGATTTTGTGGAGATTAAAGCAGGCTGTCAGTCTTCCAGCGCGTCCCGACCGTGCGATGGGGCAGGGTGCCTGTCTTCCAAAGAGATGCTATGTGGAAAGCTCCCGTCAGCATGCCCGATAAACGTGCATTGTCCATACGGGAGTGAATATTTGCATCATCAGGGTTCCTGCTCTGAGCAGGGTGCTGTTTCATCGGGTGAATGTGGGGCATCGCTCTGAGGTTGGGCCTTGCTGTCCTTGTGTGCCTGCGACTCTCACTGAGCAGGAGTAAAAGCTCCGGCTGTGACTCTGCAGGGCAGAGTCCGCCCAGGGAGGTGCAGAAATGACGCTGATGGTGACATTATTACAACAACAGTAGTGGCGTACGATAGGCACTGGGTGACGTGCTGTACAGACTTGCAGCATCTCATTTAATCTTCACAAAGACGTACGTTGTCTCCATCTTATAGAAAAGGAAACTGAGGCACGGTACCCAAATTGCTTCCCCCAGAGTACGCAACCAAGCACTGTTCCTCTGCTCAACGGCAGAGCTCGTGCCCATAGCCAGTGGCCTCTGTGCTTCTGCCCCTCCCTTGTCACGCGGCCCTTGGGGTGGGGCTGGCCCCCCAAGCCCGGGTCCTTGTGCTTCTGAAAGTGCAGCATCACTTGTAATGACGTAGTTGGGGCTCCTGTGGGGTTGCCGGTGAGAAGACCCTAAAGATGCTCTTTGCTCCCCCAGGTCAAGCTTCGAGGAGACTGAGGCCCTCGTGAACGCTGCCGCAAAAATCCAGCATCCGGTCACACGCACACTGGCCCCCAGCCAAGAGCCACACTTGCAGGTGCCAGAGAAACCCTCCCAGAAGGAGCTGGGCACCATGGCCTTAGGCAACCCCTCAGAGGCGATTGAAATTGTAAGTGGGGTCATAGGGGCCCCAGATCATGGGGGATGGGCCCTGGGTTCTGTCACCAAGGGGGGCGGGGCCAGGCCTTCAGAGCAGCACTCACCCGGCTCCTGCTGGGGCCCCCTGAAGCCAGCCTAGGAGACCCTGCCCTGGGAGGACGAGGGCGAGACTCTCCATTCACACTAGGGGGCTCTACCCTTCTCGTCTAGGGGCTTTGCTTGCCTTCGGGGTTTTTAAATTTTCCATTCTTAGCCCCTTAGGACTGGACTGTTGCTTTGGAGCCGTCATCAGTCCTCTGCCATCCTTGATGGCAAAGACAGGGGACACCCTCCTGTTGAGGAGCAGTTGGTTTTCCTGGTACTTAGTAATGGGGAAGCTTCTCCGTTTATAGACCAGGACCGTCACCCCTCCCCTCCCAACCCCTGCGGGGCCCTTGCAGAACCTCCACACTCCCTGCACGTTACACAAGTCCATCTGTGGCCTGTGACCTCCCTAAAGTGTAGGGTGCATCTGCCAGGCCTTCCATGCATCTAGAAGGGACCAGCCTTCTTGGTGAATTTCATCTTATTTTTTTGTCTCCCTCCTAGCAGTCCCCAAGCAAGTTTGAAGCTATTGACTTAGTAGTATGTTGCTTTTGCTGTTCTATATTAGCAGAACATTCACTATCTCATGCATCAGATATTTATTGAGCTCCTACTGTGTGCCTGGCAGTTGGATGCTAGAAAAACAGTAGCGAGCAGAAAGAGGGTCTAAATGTGAGTTAGTCTCTCAAATAAATGCCAGCAACGACTCGAGTATGGGTCACCTTCTACAAAGCTGGCTTCTGATTTTGAAGTCTCGCTGATCTACCAGGAGACACTTTTTTGTTTGTAATCATCTTTCCATTATTTAGAAAGTGACCTTTACCAAAGCCTTACTTCCTTTGAGATTTATACCTGGAGGTATTTTCTGGATGAGTTATGTTATGTTTAGAAAGCCCCTCAACTAGCTGCCTTCCATCCACTGAGATTCTCAAATAAACGAGCCAATGGTCACGTGGCTCCTACCCATTGACTGGGAAGTGAAGGTGGCCTGGGGGTGGGGGAAGGACACTGAAGGCTCCTACTTTTGGGGGGGGGGGGGGGCCTGCCACTCTCAAGATGTCCATTATTGGCCAGACATGGTGGCTCATGCCTGTAATCCTAGCACTCTGAGAGGCCCAGGCGGGAGGATCACTCGAGGTCAGGAGTTTGAAACCAGCCTGAGCAAGAGTGAGACCCCATCTGTACTAAAAATAGAAAAAATTAGCCTGGTGTGGTGGGGCACACACCTGTAGTCCCAGCTACTAGGGAGGCTGAGGCAGGAGGTCGCTTATGCCCAGGAGTTTGAGGTTGCTGTGAGCTGTGACCACAACACTGCACTCCACCTAGGGCAACAGAGTAAGACTCTGTCTCCAAATAAAAAAAAGATGTCCATTGTCAGCGTGTGGGGATTCGTCCAGATGAAAGCGCAAGAATTGGCAGCTAGTTGATACTCTCTTGAGCATGAAGGCAGAGATGTCCAACAAATGGGTGCGTGGCCTTGGCGTGGAATCAATGTCACTCTCTTCTCCTCTATTTTTCTCCTCTATTTCTCTTGTGTGTTCTCCTCTCGGCCGGCGTTCAGACAGCTCCCGAGGGTGCCTTTGCCTCTGCTGATGCCCTGCTCAGCAGGCTGGCTCGCCCCGGCTCCCTCTGTGGTGCACTTGACTACCTGGAGCCCGACTTAGCAGAAAAGAACCCCCCAGTATTCGCTCAGAAACTCCAGGTTTGTAGCCCACGCGTGACCTTTGGGGAGTTTGTCAAAAAAAACCTCAGTAGAGAATGAACCCCTGAGTCCCAAATGAAATGAGGCAGGATTTAATGGGGAACTGCTGGGAACGTTCCCAATGAAACGTTAATATCTTCCCCTCGAAGGCTGATAGATGTGGTGTTCTTTACCCAAGACGCCGACATCATGTAAACTGTGCGATTACGCATCGAACAAACGGTTTCCATTTCATTTTGGAAATTGGGCCCAAACAGTCATTTTTTTTTTTTTTTAGAAGTATTGATAGCCCCAAAAGCAGTTTCTGCGATTTATTCACCGAACCAAGCATATTAGATCACCGTGGAGCCAAGCTATTTATATATACGAGGCTATCTCAGACTCCCACTGAGATAACATCTGGGCCCCGTCTTGCATATGGGACCAAAAACAATGATCTACTCTGTGCTCTAAATTTGACAACTTAATTTGATATCTCCTAGACTAGGACGTTCAGAGCAAGCCTAGAGAGATTGTTAACAGCCATTTGAGAGAGGCAGACTCATTCATGGAAATTGTTGGCCAACCTTACATTAAAAAAAAAGAGAGAGAGACAGGAAAGAAATCAAAGGAAACAGTACAGGAAAAATTTTGATCCCATTGTGAAAATCATTTTGTATCCAACTGCGTAGTACTTCCCGACATGCGTTCAAAAGGGTGATTTTTGACAAAAGGAAATTAAACACTTAATTTCATGATCTGCTGAGGTGCTAATTGTGAAAGAAAGGTGGAGCGTGTGTTTTTCCCCGAGTACCTGTCATGACACATTTACGTGGCACATTCATTTCTCGGATGTGGGAAACACTGACGTCTGTCTTGATGCATTTCCCCGTGGTTTGCGCGTGCCCGGCCCGCGGGCAGGAGGAGTTAGAGTTTGCCGTCATGCGGATAGAAGCCCTGAAGCTGGCCAGGCAGATTGCGCTGGCTTCCCGCAGCCGCCAGGACGCCAAGGTACCGGTTTGCTGCCACCTGAGGATGCCGTGTGTGCCGCTGTGCTCAGGAAGCCGCTTTGCTAACCGTCCGTCGGGCAGGCCTTGTCGGTGCCCGACCAAGTGCCGCTTCCAAACGCTGCAAGCGGGACTCTTGTGCAAATGCACACCGAGCGCGTATCTATTAATAGGATCTGTTTAACTCCACCGGGAGGGCGGTGGTGCTGGTTAGATGGAGGAGGATATGGGAAACCAATGTTCAGGGTCAGTGGGCTGAAGGAGGCTAGAGTGAGATGGCAAGGTGAGATATAAAACCAGTTAATGCTGACTTCACAGAGCGGAAGAAGAATCATAACCTTGAGGTTATTTTTTTCTGCTACAGATAACCATTTGCTTCTCTACTGAACAAAAATAATTCGTGACTTTTCTATCTTCTACAAGTTAACATGTAAATTTAGTGAGGGTAGGCCCTGAGCAATAATAAATAGTGAGTGAAACCGAGACGTGTTGCTCCGGACCGGGGGTTGGCAAGCCTTTCTGTATAGGGCCGAGAGTAAATTCTTAAGGCTTTGCTGGCCCAAGTCTTTGTCACAGCTAGTCAGTTCTGCCACAGTAGTGCAAAAGCAGCCTGAGAGTGTGCAGATAAAAGGTGTGACAATGTTCTGGTAAAACTATTTGGGTGTTTATGTTTTGTTTTTTACTAAAAAGGGCAGCGCGCATTTGGTCCGTGGGCCCGAGTTTGCCAACCCCTGCTTTTAGTGTGGGTGTGATACTGACCAGGCATGTGGAGATCTTTTTGCCTGGCTTCCAAGTTTGGAGTGATTTTTCTTAACAGTTCGAGTGGCTGCTGCTGTTGACATGCAGAACGTGTGTGTCATTCCCAGGGCCTTGCCCTACCTGAGTTGCACAGCCCAGTGAGCCTAGTGTGTCAGACCAGGGCCGGACCCACCTGTGCTCTGTGGCTTTGAACCAGTTAGTGAAACTCTCTGGGCCTCTCAGTTTTTCCATCTGTGAGATGAGGCCAATAACAGCGAGTTTGCAGGTTGCCTTGAGGACTGCAGACTGCCAGGGTGTGGAGAGTGGCTCTGTGGCTGGCACATAGTAGGTGTGCAATGGAAGAAAGCTGCTGCCGTTGGCTGACACTGCACTTTTGCCTCTGTTGATCAGAGGCTCACAGCATCTCTCCTTAGTAGTTGAATCCAGGTCCCATTTTACAGACGGGAAATGAAGCCTGGTGCCGGCAGTTTACCAGCCTGGTGGGGACTAGAACTTGGGTCTCTAAATGGGAGCCCCGTCCTGCCTGTCTCGGGAAACAGCTCATCTGCAGAGGGGGGCAGTGGCATGTCCACTTCTTGTGCTTGGTCCAGGAGCAGGAGTTCCAGCTGCTGCTTCTGTCTGGGGGGGCCCTGCTTGTTGTCCCCCTGGCTAGAGCTCAAAGGGAGACCCCTCCCAAAGACAGAAGGTGCCCACACTGTGGATGTCCAGACTGGGGACAAGGGCACCCAGGGCAGGGACAAGAATATAAGCACAGACTGGTGATGTCCTTGTTCTTATTGCCAAACCATAAACTTAGGTTGAATTTCCATAAAAGTAAGATTTTTGGAAAGCGTTAAGCAGTGAGGATTTTTTCCCCCTACTAGATTTATTTCTCGCTATCCTTGGGGAGTGGCTCAAAGACAGAATGAATTGCCCGAAGTTTGGCCGCTATAAATGTGGTCTATTCCTGCCCAGAAGTTTGAGGCAGAACTGAGCATGTTCTGACGAGTAATTGAGATTGGGTGTGACGTGTGGCGAGTGTCTCGGTGCACCTGCCTCCTTCCTCTGGGAGCCTGCGAGAGACAGACGTCCCCAAACATCAGCCAGGAGATGACTTCCTGCCAGTCACAACTTGTTCTCAGCCCATGTGTCCTGATTTTGATTTAGAAAATAATGTCATATTGATCCATCGAGCGTGGGTCAGAGAGACGGTGCAAGCCACCTGCACTCCACAAGTGCATGCTCAGAGAGAGAGATGTTCTGTTGGCTAGAACCATCTTGGAGCGTAAGGACATTTTCCTCTAGTACCTTGTATTGCTTTGTAAAAAGTACATTATCGGGTGACTGTGGCCCGTGGGAACTAGATGCTGTGCCTGCAGCTCAGCAGCCCGAGGCTGAGCCGCTGGCCTGACCCCACCCTGTTCCTTTGGGCTCCTTTTCCACACAGACCCAGACTGCCCTGCGCTGCGCTGGAAACTGCGCACACGGAGACCAGCAGCCGCGTATCCAGTTTCCCCCCTTTTTCTGCCCGTATATTCAGCTGCAGGCGACACAGCTCAGCCTTTTTGGCAGCGTGATCATAAGCTGTTGCTAACACACAAATGAAATCACTTTGCACGAAAAATATCCTATCGAGGGGATGAAAACCAGCATGAAAAAGGGTTGGGGGTTGCCCGTTGATCTTTGGAGCAGCTTCAACTTGCATTTCTCTCTAGACCGACAGAGAGCCCGGCCGGCCTTCGAGGAACTGCAGCGGGCTGTTCTCTGTCTCGTTAAATGCTAGAAAGGAGGGCGAGTCCGTGGGGGCAGGGGTGTCAGGCTACAGCCTCATTGTCACTTGCCTTCCACGTGCTTCTGGACACACTGAGTTTGGTTGCTTGTGTCCTCCTGGGGGCGAGCCTGGCCGGGGTTGCTGGATGATGTGGACACTCTCCAGGTTGGACAGACCCCAAGCGGCAGGCTCCCGTGGCTCTGCAGGGGGTAGGGCACGAGGATGCGTGCGTGTGACAGATACTGGTTGTGATCCCTGAAGCTGCTGGCCTTTCTGGATGACGGGGACCCAACACGCGACTGGGGGATGAGGTGACACGAACAAGCTTCGGGAGGGGAGCGAGTCCTAGCAACAGGCGCCCTGGGCGGGAAAGCGGTGTGAGTCCCCCATGTCTGATTCCTCTGTGAGTCCCGGCTTGGGGGGGGGACACCCGGGTTTCACATGAGTGGGAGAAGGAGCTGGGCCGGGGCAGTCCGTGTCGTTGGCGAGCAGCCTGGCACCACGTTCCGTGTCTCCCTCACGTGCTGCGCCCACAAACCCCCCTCCCCCATTTGATGGTGGTTCAAAAGGAGGGACACCTGACACCTGAGAGCTGTGAAAAGAGCCCGAGAGGAGCGACGGGGGACCAGCGGCTGAGCACCCACATGCTTGACCGTCTGGAGAATCTGTGGCCATTGCCCAGAGTCTGGATGGGGGTGGGGGGTGGGGACGAGCGGCCAGCGGTGTCTGGCGGGGCCTTCCGCGAGAGGGCGCAGTGCTGAGTCCTTTCCCCGAGTTTGCGGCTCCTGGGCTTTGGGCACCTATGTTGGGACTGTCCTGCCCAGAAGGCGGCACATGGCCTGGACGTGTCCTCATGCACCTGGCCTGTGTCCATGCCCCGTGGCCTTAGCCTAGGTGTCTGTCGTCTCCCCAGCTAACCAAGACTCCTGGTCCTCACCCCTCTGTGGCCCCTGGCCCGGCTGTCCAGCCTCAGATTGGCAGGTGCACCCCCAGAGTTGGCCTCTGACGGCTCCTGGGGACAGGAATCCTGCCACAGTGCCCACCCACTCGCTGGCAGCCAGAAGGACCCAGGCACAGGCCTGCATGTCTGAAGGGGGTGACGGTGGCCAGGGGCTCTCGCGGGACCCAGGACTTAAGGAGTGAGCTGGAGGGTAGAAGTTGGTTGCAGGGCTCATGCTTTCTGGATTGTGGCCGTCTTGCATTTCAATTTGTGATTCTAGTGGCTCTTTTTGCCTCTGTTAAAGTAGCAAGTGGGGCATTATGTGAGAGAAACAAAGCTTAATCTAAAAATATCTGATCTTAAAATATCAGGGAGAGACAAACCTATTAATTTCAGTTAACAATTCTTGGTTGTAAGAAAAAACCAGGGTGTGTACAATGAATTTCATTAACGTGCAGACACTCAGGCAGTAATTCAAGTGGTTTCTGAAGTCATCTGTTTCTTTATTGAAAACGCCAGGTGGCCTGGGTGGAGGGAACAGCGAATCACTCTATAGGGTGGTGTCCGCTTGCATTTACTTAGAAAGCTCAGCATTTTATTGACTTTTTCATTCCCTTTCTTGTTTTACAAAGGACTGTGGGCAGCTTAAAGAGCATTAATTCCTTCCTTGGTCATATTCAATTTCTGCCCAGTATGATAAAGTTAGTTTTAATTAAATCTGTTTTCTTTTGCACTACAGGGAACCAGTTGATCTTGGGTCAGAACTGAATCTCATTCGGGGAGAACTTTTGGCCAAATCTCTCAGATCTTTAGTTTTTTTCATCTTCAGAAGGACTAGCCTGAATTTGATGGTGTCTGATTTTCTTTTCACTTTGACATTTTCTTGTTCTTACTTTTTGTTGTTGTTGTTGTTCTCACTTTTTGAAGAACACATTTACTTTAAGAGTGATAGGAACAGTTAATTTTTTTTTTAATCTTTTAAAGAATTTTGTGTTTATGAATTTTCTCCATAAGGACAGATATTGAGTCTCCATCTCTGGGTGTAATTTTCCAGCTCCTTCCTGAGAAGTTCCCCGTGTGACACACAGAACTGTGAAAACCATTTGCAAACAGGGGCTCTGGCCCTGGGGACTGTGCTGCCCGTCTGCTCAGGGCTGTTGACCTGTGTTCCTGCTGGTCACGTGCCCTGTCAACAGAGGCTGCTTGGGGGTCTGAGACTGAGAAGAGTGTGGTATCCTGTGTTCAGCGAGTCTCTGGGGTCTGGTTGAAGGGGCTGTGCGCTCCCGTCTCTGGCTGGTGGATCATTCGGGTCTCTCTTCAGGGTCAGGCTGAGCTCTCAAGGTCACGTAGGGCATTGAAATCCAAGCATTCCGAGTTCTCTTCCAGAACAGCCTAAACCATGTAGTTCACCTTGCATGTGCACAGCTAACCATTCCTAACCCGGTCATCTCTGGTCCTATCCATTAAACTTCTACCCGCGTTTCCTAAGCTATCTCCATCTCAGGTGCATTTCCCCTGATGCCGTAGTGGGGCCAGCACGCCTGTTCCTGTCACTGAAGAGAGAAATCCTGCTGAGTGTGTTCAAGTGCACCCTTCCCGGTCACTGTCGGCTCTTTAAGCTGCTGCCCTTTCTGAGTCCTCATCACGCTTTGCTCAAATCTCCACTACACTGTGGTGTTCTGTTCTCGCTTCCCAGGCAGCAGTCCCATCCTGCCTGTTAGACACCATTGCCACCCATCGATTTGGACTCTAGTAACCAGGGTAGGGGTTCACCTTGGCAACCAGGGCAGCGCCCCGAGGTTAATGCATAGGACTGAGAGTGCGGTTGGTTTGATGTTCTTTTGCGGTAGAAGTAGACTGACAACCTGCTGTGCTGGTTGGTGGTGCTCCTAACACTGCGTTTCAACTGTGCGTTTCACCTGTGTGGCAAGTTGCTCAGCATTTTGTGCAAAGGAGAGAATGACCACAGACCCCTCCTTGCCCCCAGGAGGCTAGTGTCCTCTACAACAGGCTGTAGAGCCTCAAACCAACGTCAGTGGGTCAGTGGGTGGAGTGGGACCGTGGATTGTGTACTACTTGCTCAGGGTCTGATCAGCAGATGTAGATATTTTGTCATTACCCAGTTTTAAATTTTTCCACTGATGTAACACACTTAAGGGCAACGTAACTCTTCACATCCAGAAACTCTAGCTTGCTGAAGGTGAACGTTTGGTTAACGACCACAGGAAGCCTTAAGCATTGTGTGAATCACATCCTTTCAAATGGAGCTAAACAAACCCCCGCCCCCAATTGAAATGTGGGCAGTCTTACAAAACTGATCAAATCTATGGTTATTCAAAACTAGCCAAAAGTAGACTAGAATTCAATATCGTCACCATCAAGATTTTATTTTGCAAGTGGAGCCCACTGGGTAGAGACTTTCGTTCTTATGCGCTACGCCTAAGTGGTTTGGAGTCTGATAAGTGGCAGCGATATGCAGGCACCTGCCTCCAAGGACTCACAGCGGGCCGCAGGGGCTCGCCATCAGCCCCTTTGTCTGCGGCACAGGTGCAAGGTGGTAGATCTCCGCAGATTCCACCTGGCACTTCCCTGTTCATGAGTCTCTGCATTTTCTCATACTTTTGATGTTCTCTGTTTCAAAACCATAACAACCAACCCATTCATGAGGAGATGAATGCAGTCCTCTTTGTCCTATGATGAATGTTAACCCTTTTTTTTTTTTTTAATTAAAAAATCATTCCACAGAGAGAGGCGGCTCACCCAGCAGATGTCTCCATCTCCAAAACAGCCCTGTACTCCCGCATCGGGACCGCTGAGGTGGAGAAACCTGCAGGCCTCCTGTTCCAGCAGCCCGACTTGGACTCCGCGCTCCAGATGGCCAGGGCAGAGGTATCGTGGCACGTGGCTCGGTCTCCCGGGGAAAGGAGCCTGCTCCTGGCCTTATAAATAAATACATCTATGTGGTCCACAAAGCCAGTGCCTTTGGAGACTGACTTTCTCCACTGAGCCCTGCAGGCAGAAACGTGAGGCAAACCCTGGGCTTTGATCTTCCCAGGCACCTTTGTTTAATGAATTCCTAACAAAAGGCATGCTCCTTTCATTTGCTCCCCAGGGGCCTAGGGAGAGTCTGGTATCTGGCTTATTTCCTTCTCAGGGGCTGGGAGGTTCTCTGAATGCAACTGTGGTTTGGCGTAGGAAGCTTTAGTTCCATATTTATGCCCTGTCCCCTGGTCTTGGTCTGTGAATGGCTCAGACCCAGATCCTCTCCTCTGGGGCTAACCTTTCTCTTCTCCTCCCCGACACCAGATCATAACGAAGGAGAGAGAGGTGACGGAGTGGAAAGACAAATACGAAGAAAGCAGGCGGGAAGTGATGGAAATGAGGTCAGTTGCGGTGCTCGGCCACCTGGTGCCTGGGGACGCTCACACCTGTGGCTTGCTGATGGCCGGAGCTGGCGTGGTCCGAGGAATAGCGTCTGCTATGGGACAAGTCCTCGAATTCTCTTTATGACACAGGCTCATATCTCTACAAAAGTATTTTTACTGTATTACTGTTGTTAAAATAACATGCACGTGAGTTAAAGGATTTGGTTCAAATAAATATATGTAGGATGCAAAACAGATACCTCCCCGCCCAGTCCCGTCCCACAACCCGCAGGTAACTGCTGTCCCCTGTTTCTGGGGGATCCTCGTAAGAATTTTCCATTCCTCGTCACAGATGTGTGAATGTATCTGTCTCTGCAGCCTCCCTTTTCCTCCAAAATGAATGGGGAAGTGCAGTATACTTCATCATATACTCTTTTTTAATTTAACAGCCGTGTCGTCTCTACCTCTTTGTGTTTAACAGGTGCTTAATGGTCCATTGTATGGATCTAACACAATTAATTGAACCAGTCTCAGTGGGTGAACGTTTAGAATCTTTCCTGACTTTTGCTTGAATGGTTTATTTTCATTTGTTGGATATTGTAATAGAAACACAGTAGCCACCACACAGAGTGTACTTGATTATAATGGTGGGTGCTACTTTGTCATTGGAATCAATTGCATTCCTGGCTGCCATTTCATGTAGCAAGCGAACTATTAGGTGATCACATCCCCTGTTTTCTAGGCCACCAGTATTACCTTGCTGAAAGCTCTCCTGTTAGTTCCTTCTTTCTGCTGACCTTTCCTATGACTGCTCCTTGGAGTGTGCTGTTTCACATTCACATCGAAGCCCTGCAGCGGCATTATTTTTAAACCCCTTTCTTTTCTCTCTTTTTTTTCGGGGGGGGGGGGGGATGAATGGCTCTAGTTTTCTACCTGCACTGAAAATGAAGTTGGCCATCCTGGGAAGGCCGGAAGTTCTGTATCTGATTCCTTCCGCCTCCCTGGGAGAAGTTGTACCCATGGGGGCCCAGGGAGTGCTGTGAACTAAGGGATGTGGTAGAATTTCAAGATGTCACCAGCTAGTTCAGCTGCACTGGCATTGGACGGCCCGGATGTCAGCCTGTTGGCCCCTGCAGCCAGACCAGGGGCAAGTCAGGCGCTGCTTCCCAGCTGCTTCGGGCACGTTACTTAACTTTGTGCCTCACTTTCCTTGTCTGTAAAATGGGGGCAAATAGCAGAGCATAGCGTTACATACAAAGGCTCCAGAGTCCGATGCCTGGATTCACATGCCACTTGGTAGCCCTGGAATCCCGGAAAAGTTTCCGAAGCACCTGATGCCCCAATGTCCCCATCAGTGGTACTGGGGGCACTGAGCGCCTCCTCGCAGGGTCACTGGAGGGTACAGTGGAAAGACAGCACAGCCAAAGCACTTTTGGTCCCCGTCTCCCCACACTTCTGAAAGGACACGTCCCTTCCCTCTGTTTCCTCGGCAGTGATGGGTTTAGATAACGCAGCCTCAAAGATCCATCATGGTTTCGGGATTACGGGATGCAGGGAGGTGTTTAATCACAGAAAACACAAAAGTGTTCTGTGTAGGATTCGGAAGAGCCCAAGTGGGCTCGAGTCGTGGTCACCTTTCTTGTTGCGAGTCTGTCCTTGGGTGAGCTGCTGTGGAAGGCTTCAGTTGTGGGCTGTAGGTTTGGCCTTATTTTTTTCCTTAGTGGGCAGTGGGGGGTGTTGAAGATCTTGCTGGGGTGGTGTGTTTAGAGCCACGCCCTAGGAAAAGGAACCTATTTAGGTGCGCAGGGAGAGGGCCGAGGGAGGAGGGGACCCTGGAAGTGTGAGCCCAACCTTGGCAGATGAGGCCTGTCCCGCTGGACGTTGGTCAGGCCCTTGGTGTCCAGTGCTGGGGCGCCTGTGTGAGGTTGAAACCCCTCCTGTTGCCATGGCTCCAACGCGTCTTTGCTTCTCTTACAGGAAAATCGTGGCCGAGTATGAGAAGACCATCGCTCAGATGATAGGTGGGTGTCCACGGGCCTCCCGTGGCGTGTCTAGACCATGGGGAGGCGCTGGAGGACAGGAGGCTTGGGTGGGCTCCTTGTAGAGCACGACATCCTTCAGGGAGGGAGGGACCAAAGCGTCTCAGCAAACACGGCCTTGCTCCAGGGCACAGAGCCCGGGCCCTCCCGGGCGCACCTGCTGGAACCTGCCGTGGCGTTATTCGTGCCCGTGGGAAACCGAGGCAGTGAGCTCGGTAGCTACCATGGGAGCCGGCCACAGACTGTCCCATCTCGTGGGCAAAGAGATCTGGGCTGGTTCCTGGGATGTTTGGGGGCCTTTTTTGCTTATGAGAGAATAGGAATCAAATCCCTGGACCCTACTTTAGTTTAGACTCAAGTGACAAAATACTCCACTTAGGCTTTACATATGAGGGTCTAGGGCAAGGACGGTGGGCCGTGGGGTGACTGCCCTGCCCCCACCTCCTGTGACTGCAGCAGACCCTGTTCATGAGTCATAGCGCTGTTTCTGAGATTGGACGCTGCCTCAGAATCCATCTTAACACAGCGCCCCTGGCAGCCAGTACTGACAGATTGCTTTGGCCCTCAATTAAAAAAAAAGGTCTAAAGTTATATGTTTCTCACACCTGGGTCTTTTTTTTCTTTTTCTTTTCTTTACTTTCTTTTTAAGAAAATAAGAAAGATCTTTGCAGAAGTTCCAAGCCCAGGGTTTTATGCTAGTGACCACTATTCAGGAATGATGTTATGATTCTTGGAAGGGAAGATTGCTTGTGTGTCCATCTGTCTCTCTATTTGCTTAGGCTTCATGATAATGGGTTTTTTAAAGATCCTTTTCTTGTAAGGATATATGGAGTAAAACTCCAGGTCACTGCAAACCACAGTTTATGTGGCCAAGTATGACACTGTGCCCTTCTCTTAAACGTTTGGATGTGTGAGTCACATCACACCTCTAGCTTGTCCCGAGATAAACGTAACAGTAGCGTCGAGAACAGCGAAGAGGCCAGCAGTTGAGTGCTGTCCACCCAAAGGAGCTTTCATTTTGATTTATTATAATAAAGCCCATTCCACCCAGAGCTCCAGGGGAAGCCCATTCAGGTGTTTCTGAGGTTGAGCTTCATGGTGCCTGCTTTCTATCAAAATGAAATTTCTTTATTAAATTGGTATAAAAATTTATGGACACATGGATGAGATTTTTAAAACATTTTAAACCCTTGGAGTTGAAAATGCTGGTAAAAAAACGTTCAGGATGGAGGATTTACGTCATCCAATATGCAGTATTTGGCAAGTGGAGCACAACCTTTTGGCCTCCTTGGAGTCTTGGGATGTGACAACATCACTTAGACCTACCATGGCTCATCTGGAAACCTCCTGCTCCATCTCAGGGTCGTATATTGTTATGTTTGCCCTTGGTGATGACATGTCAGCAAATGCTGAAGTCGGGGGAAGGGTGTGAGCTTTGCTCAGGGAGAGGCTGCCCAGAGCCATCATCTTTCATTGCTCAGCTGGCAAAGTTGATGTAAACAGATGTTCCCTCTTGAGAATTAAAATCGTGAGAACATCTCTAGTTGGCACAAGCGGCCTGTCCTTGTTGTGACAGAAAGATTACTCGACTCTCAGACTTTCCTCGAAGAATATTTGTAAGTGAGAGCGGTTAGGATATTTTCAATCCTAGACAATCCGAAGTGCAGGTGCAACCCCTTTGAGCATTTTCCTGTTCCGGGGAGCACTCTGGGTGGGCAGGAGGACCCTTCCACCATCCCCGCCTGGAGCAGCATCCTCACGCAGGGGTGGGATCTCACCGTGCCTCTGTTCCTCGTTCACCCATTCATCATCCTCTTCGTCATCCTCTTCTCTGGAGCTTTTCTCATCAGAGAGGTGGCAGGTCTGTGGTTGTCATCCTCAGTCACTGTTGCAGGTCATTGATTAAGGCCAACTCAGATTTCAAGGTCCTCCTGTCCCTGTGAAGGACAGCAGAGGACTTGACGTGCCTTCCCTCTGGGCAAGTCTGAGTCTCTCCATACATGGAACCGCGCTCATGAGTCCTGTCTGAAATCCATACTTCTCTTCCCATTTTCACGCACATAACCTGCATCCTTTTTGGAAGGGAAACTCGGGCCCGGAGAGCTCAGGACCAGAGTGAATGCAATAGCGTCTTGAAGTTGAAACCAGCCCCACCAACACCTGTTAGCTCTCCCTGGCTCCGGGGCTTCCACACCACGTTCACGGATGCTCCACACCAGGGTGACGTCATCTTGCCATTGTCAGTCATTCTCATCAAAGGTTTCTAAAGAGAATATGTCTTATTAAGCTCAATTATTGATTATTTAGCATTCAGAACAAAAAGAGACTTCTGTGCTTTCTGCATTCCAGGTTGTTGCAATTGATTTTTTTCTGCTTTCCTAACAACTGCCCTGATTATCTGTTTTGCTTCCATTTTCTGTTGCTGCTTACCCTTTGCTTGCAAAACAAACAGGCAAGCCTGGTAAGTAAATGCTTTCCCCCTAATCCAATACCTGCCCATTGCAACCCTCGTTTGTTTGTTTGTTTTTCTTTTTTTTGTTCTTTTTGCTTTTGTGAATTTGCCGCATTTCCCACGCTATTTAATGATGTTTTTGCCTGAAAAGCCAGAAAAGTCTTCAGGGGCATTGTTTTGCTGTCAAGTCTAGACTGCCTTTGGTTTAAGGCTGATTTCCTGGTTCGAAGAACCTAACTGCATTTGTCATTTAGGAAAAGATTTGTGAAGCGTCCTTGCCTCCTCAGTCTCCTGGGAACTGGGCAATTCTACTTTTAAAAGGGTTGGGGCAGGAGAAAGGAAACCTGAGCAAAGTCTTGGGTCCAGGAAATCAGATGAACTTGGTTTGATAAATGGCTCCTTTGCTAAGAGAAGTGAAATGTATACATGGGCTCCAATCAGCCCAGACTATACATTGTGCAGCGTTTTGGGAACTGAGGAAGCAGCTGAAATTCAAAGAATAAAAACAAGCATTTGATTACTAGTGAGACTTTGAAACGCCCCTTTCCTTTAGGAGTCTAGATGAAGCAAGCAGATTGCTGGGGACTCTTGTCTCTCTGTGTGTTGAAAATTTCTCCTTCACTGGTCACTGTGACACACTGTCATACCGATCCAGGGGTGACTGTCACGGGGTTCATTATGGACAGTGATGCTATTGATAATGGGTCACCGATATTGGGCTCTTCCTGGGTGTCTAGGGCTTTAACATATAGTCATTTAATCTTCCCCCAAATGCCGTGAGATGTAAATACTGTCGTCCCCTATCCCAGGTGAGGAGGCTGAGACAGTTAAAAACCCTGCTCAGTGTCGCACAGCAGGGAAGTGTCCCAGACAGGATTCAAGCCTGCGCGGTCAGGCGCTGGCGCCTCTTAGCCGCTGCCCTGGGCAGCTCCGGGCCGCTGGTAGTGAGAGCTCTTGGGAGTCCTGTGATCACAGAGGCAGGGCTGGGGGGACATTAGGCATCTTCTAAGCTCGTGGCTCTCCAGGCAGAGCCCCCGGACTAGCAGCATCTGTCTGCGTCACGGGGGGCTTGTCACAGATGCAGATTCTCGGCACCCCCCGCCACCCCCCCCCAGACCTACCGAGTCGGAGCCTGTGGGGTTCGCCAGCTGAAGCAGGCGCACACTCACATGTGAGAACGTGTGGAAACGAGGCCCTGGGGCCCTGAGAGGCCAGGACTTCTGAGCAGGCTTATGTCAGACACGGAGTTAAAACCCAGGATGTGGCCCCCACCACACCACACCACACCACACCACACCACACCACACCACACCACACCACACCACATGGGTACGAATGTGCCTGACTCTAGGTAGGGCAAGATGCCGACCTGTCGTATCTGGAAACGGAGGGAAAAGAACCCGTGGCAAAATCTCCCCACGGCTAAGGGAGCCGCCACATCCCTCAAGGTCTGTCATTGCAAGAGGCCCAGGTAGAGATGCGGTTACGATCTCGGCTCTGGGTTTGGCCTCTGCCACTTCCTCGGTGAACAGTGGCTTAGCTCCTCAAACCCTCCATGCTTCGCCTTCTAAATGGGGATGAGCAGACCCCCTGCTGAGGCGTTCCCCACTCTGGGGAGGTGACATGGGATCAGAGACCTGAGCGAATGGCAGGGAGCCCCTGGAAGCCCTATGGCAGGACCACCTGGGGCGTTGGAGGCCTTGGTGGCTGGGGCGGAGCGGCCAGGGAGAGTAGAGGCCAGGCAGGTGGGCGAGGGTTTGGATTTCCTTCCCACACAGGAGTGGGGTGGCCTGGTCTGCACTTTGGGGAGCTCAGGCTGGCTGCTGGGTACTGGCTTAGGGACAATGAGTAGAGCAGCCAGCATGGCCCCGACACATGGCAGGGCCCAGTGAGCACCTGCTGCTGCTGTTCTTGCCGTGGCAATTTCCAGATATGATCGGTCCTATGGCAGCCAGCCCTCAGAGTCAGTCCTGGGCAGCGGGCAGCCCCCTCCCAGCTGACCTGGGGTTGACAGAAAGGTCTGCTGAGCTCCCTCCCCAGGAGCTCCAAGTGGGGGCCTCTCCCTTCTACCCTCCCCTGTTGCCAAGAGAGAAAATGATTCCTCGCTCACCTGGGCGCACCTGGGCCAGGGACGGATCAGCACAGAGAGCACAGAGGGTGCCATGCGGCAAGGGAGCTGTTTTATGTGGTCAGGGAAAGCCTTTCCCAGAAATATGGAAATGATTTTTCTAGACATTTGGGGCAGACATTTGCTTGGAGTGGCCAAGAGCCAGAAGGTGGGGTGGAGGCCAGAGCCGCTCTGAACTGGGCCAGAATTGCATTGTTTTGTACACCATGATGGAGAAGCTCACTTCGACAGACATAGCTCCATGCTTCTTGGAGTTCTTGGTACACTTGCAGTATCAAAGAAGCTGTCCGTTTCTGTGTGAGATGTAATAGAATTTCAGAGGAGACAGTTTCATGGGCTTTGGATTTCTGGGGTGTTCTAAGGACTTCCGAAGACCTGCTGTGTGTCTTGATGATTCTTAGACCCACCGCACACAACCTTCATTCTCGCCCCAACACGAAATTCGGTGATGATGTCTTCCTTTTTACCTCGTGGATCTGTTTGCTGCCAACCACCACATAGAATCCCTGGGGGCTGCGTTATAGATTTGCAAGGGGCTACGCTGATCGGGTGAAAGACTATTGGCCAATTTCCACCCCATGTGAGGCCGCACGGCCCAGGTCCGGGAGGGCTCCGGGGCACGGGTCCGTCCCCAGGAAACGCCGGGGTCTGTCATGCCCCCGCCGGTCGGGCTGACTTGGTCTGAGGCCTCTGCCGGCCCCCGGGCCCCAGTTCTGACTCCTGGGCTCCATCGTCCGGCTCCTTGTGTCTCTGCCAGAGGACGAGCAGAGGGAGAAGTCGGTCTCCCACCAGACGGTGCAGCAGCTGGTCCTGGAGAAGGAGCAGGCCCTGGCCGACCTGAACTCCGTGGAGAAGTCTCTGGCCGACCTTTTCAGGAGATACGAGAAGATGAAGGAGGTCCTGGAAGGCTTCCGCAAGGTGGGTGTGGGGCGGGGGGCCGAGTGGGAGGCTGGACGAGTGGGGTGGAGAAGGGGGAGCAGGTTGGTTGAGATTGTGGGGTGCCCCAGGGCAGGGGTTAGGGGTTCTGAAGTCCATCGTGAGCCACCCGTGACTCGCGCGGGGTCCCGGAAGGCCGGGGAGGCAGACGTGGCTGCCTGGGGCTAAACCTGCGTCCGGGAGTTCGTGGGGTTCCCGGCGCTCCTGGGCCTTTCTCCGCACGGACTCAAGCCCGTCCTCCCTGGCGTCAGAACGAAGAGGTGCTGAAGAGATGCGCGCAGGAGTACCTGTCCCGGGTGAAGAAGGAGGAGCAGCGGTACCAGGCGCTGAAGGTGCACGCAGAGGAGAAACTGGACAGGTAAAGCGACCGGGCTCTGCCCCCCCGGGCCACTCAGCAGCCCCTGCCCGGGCACCCCTGAGGCTGGCTCGGCACGGGTGGGCAGTCCGTGTGCACTCTCCGTAAGACTCGTGCGGAGGGCACGCTCCCCGCATCGTTTCCGTAAGTGGAGGACGCACGTTGCGATGTCCGGGGCGCCCAGAGCACCTGGTGCACAGGAGTGGGGTCTGGTGCGGCGTTCCCCTGGGCCTCTGCGCGCTGGCTCCGGGTGACGGGAGCTGGGGCCAGGCCAGACCACTGTCCCTGCTGGGAGGCGGCAAGGGCCTCTGGCGCCCCAGGGGGAAGGGTGGTAATTTGGGGCTCCCCGTCCCCGCCAGGGCCAATGCTGAGATCGCCCAGGTCCGAGGCAAGGCGCAGCAGGAGCAGGCCGCCCACCAGGCCAGCCTGCGGAAGGAGCAGCTGCGTGTGGACGCCCTGGAGAGGACGCTGGAGCAGAAGGTAAGGGGACCCGGCGGCCTCCTGGCGCCCCCGGCCCACTGCCGCTCCCGAGGGCAAGTTTGTGCGCTATGAGCAGACCCATGTCTCCCTCCAGTTGAGCGCTAGCCCTGAGACCGGCTTCCCTTCCACCTTTCCTGGAGTCACAGCCTGCAGGGCATTTATTGCCATTTTCATTCGTTTTCAGCATTCATTCATTCGTCAAGTACTTTTTAAGCACCTACGGTGTGCCAGGTGTGGCACTTGAACTCTGCACCCAGCGTGCTTACCGGGGAGTAGACGGGGCACCCACCCCGACAGCGGCCACCAGCTGATGCAGAAAATGGGCAGTGTCAGGTGTCCTCTGGCTTCACGGCCGGGGGCGTCTTCCTGAGGTCATTTACCGCGTGCCCAGGTTTCCTGATTTTGAACCTGGCGCTCCGTCTGCTGTGCACACTGTCTCCCCGGGTGTCCGGATGAGACGCTCCTTCAGCCCAGGAGTGTCCCGTGAGCAAGGGCCAGGCCCCCTCCCTGCATGCGTTCCTGAAGGAGGTGTCTCCAGACAGGCAGCACCATTCCAGACAATTTGCTGAGCCTTAAGAGTCCCCTGGGCGGTCACCAGGGTGTGGCATGAGGATCACCTTGAAGCCACCTTGCGTCTGCTCCTGCCTCTCTCCGTGTCCCCGGTACCCACAGCACCACCCATCTGGCGTCCTGCAAACAATGCTAGTGACCTCGTCCGAGTGGAACTGCTCAGCCCCCCTTGTGCCAGTTCTCAAAATGGCCACCAAAGGGCTCAGCCCAGACCACTGTCACCTGTCACCTCTGATTACGTCCTTCAGAGGCAAATGAAGGGAGAGGAACCACTCTAGTTAATCCTCTTCTCTGTGCTGGTCCCTGTGCCAGGGACCTTTACGTTTCTCACCTCATTTAGTTATCAGAAGGACAGATGTTATCGCATCTTATTTATTTATTTACTTTTACTTTGATAGATTTAGTAGGTACAAGTGGTTGTTTTTTTGTTGTTGGTGGTGTTGTTACGGGGATGAATTGTATAGTGGTGAAATGAGGGCTTTCAGTGTACCATCTCCAGAATAGTGGACATTGTACCTGATAGGTGGTTTTTGATCCCTCATCACCTACATTTTAGAGATGTGAGGAAACCAAGGCTCAGAGAGGTTTTGTAACTTGCCCAAGGTCACACAGCTAGAGCTGGGGTATATCCTCAGGTCGTTTGGCTCCAAGTCATTTCTCTCACTGCTTTAGATAACTTTGGGGGCACCAAGTGGCCCGGTGGACCCCATATCTCCCAAAAGCCCAATGTCCATTCTGATTGGGTAGACTTCCAACATCAGTAACTTCTATCTTGTCTTCACTTGCAGAATAAAGAGATAGAAGAGCTCACCAAGATTTGTGACGAACTGATTGCTAAGATGGGGAAAAGCTAACTCTGAACCAAATGTCTGGACTTGGCTGTTGCGTGCAATATGACCGTCGGCACACTGCTGTTCCTCCAATCACGTGGACAGGTTCTGTTTTCACTTTTTCGTATGCACTACTGTATTTCCTTTCTAAATAAAGTTGATTTGATTGTATGCAGTACTAAGGAGACTATCAGAACCTCTTGCTATTGGTTTGCATTTTCCTAGTATAATTCATAGCAAGTTGACCTCAGAGTTCCTGTATCAGGGAGATTGTCTGATTCTCTAATAAAAGACAAATTGCTGACCTTGGCCTTGCCCTTTGTACACAAGTTCCCAGGGTGAGCAGCTTTTGGATTTAATATGAACATGTACAGCGTGCATAGGGACTCTTGCCTTAAGGAGTGTAAACTTGATCTGCATTTGCTGATTTGTTTTTAAAAAAAATGCATGTTTCAAACAAAATTCTCTATTGTAAATAAACTTTTTTCTTTGGATCTTGGCAATAAGTGTGGCTATGATTTCTTTTCTGGGAAGGGTTGAGTCTTTTCTTGCCTTTGTTTAATATTAGATTTGTCCTTTTCTCTGCCTGGGATTTAAATAACATTTCTTCGCCCACGGATTTAAATAGCATTTCCTTCGTTACCGTGGCTGGGTTTGCAGGATGAAACCATCGAGAAATATCGACTCGCTGCTTAAATAATTCAGTGAATGCATTGGATTAGCTTGGATTTGGTTTTTACAAAGCCTCTTTGACTTTCGGAGGCAAATCTGTTTCTGTTGGGTCAAGGAAGTAGCAGGCTGTCACTCTTCCCGTCCGGTCCCTTCCTGTGCGAAGGTCAGCCGTGACATGTCCGTTCCCTGCCGACAGATTGGGAAGGGGCGAGCCCTTGCTGGTGGCAGGCCAGCAGCTGAGCCACTCCGGAGATGAAACGAGCAACGTGCCTGTGCTAAGAGTCCCTCATTGCTCCTGACTTGCTCGGGGGTTCCGGGGTGCAGGGTGGGCAGATCCACATCCGTTTTTTAAGGCTGCTGCAACAAATCACCACAAACTTGGCCGCTTCCAACAGCAGAAATTGATTCTCACACAGCTGCAGAGGGCAGAGCCCCAAATCCAAGGTTTGGCAGGGTTGGTTCCACCTGGAGGCTCCGAGGTGGAGGAGTTCTGCTCCGGGCCTCACTCCCAGCCTCTGCTGGCTGCTGGCACTCCTTGGCGTCCCTGTGGTTGTGGCTGCAACACTCCAACCTGCCTGTGGTCACGTGGCCCCCTCCTCTCTTATCTTACAAGAACCCCCGTCCTTGGATCCAGAGCCCATCCCACATCCGGGATGATGTCACGCAAGAGCCTCAGTTATATCTGCAAAGACCCTGTTTCCAAATAAGGTCACATTCACAGGTAGGGGGATTGGATGTGGATGTATCTTTCAGGGGAACACCTGTGCCAGCGGGGTGTGGGGTGTGGGCTGTCAGCTCGAAGGCAGACCCAAGGCCCTGATGGCCCTGAGCTCGGCCGCCCCTCTTCCTGCCCAGGCACCGTGGCTGTGGCTGCTCCCCCTGCAGTAGGTTTAGTTTCTCTGATTATTTAAGTAAAACATTTCTATATTTATTTATTTATTTATTTATTTATTTTTTGTTAAATTGCTTCTCGCCTGAGAACATTTCTATATTTATCAATAAAAAATTCAAAAGAGGAGGTAAATGGGGAAAAACCACACATAATCCCCAAACCAAGAAACTGTTAATGTTTTTATGTGTCTTTTTTCTCAGTTTGAAATATTTAATATTTATAAGAGCAGGATTATTAAGAGGTAATGTAGTACTGTACCTGTAGCCATTTTCAGTGTGCGTAAAGTTTCATAAACTTTTTTTTCCCTTTTATGTTATTGGGGTACAAATATTGTTAGGGTTACATATATTGCCCCTGTCACCCCTCCCCCCCATAAACCTTTTTTCATGTAATATTAATACCATAACGTGACCACCACGTGACAGTAAACTTTTATATCAATAAATACAGCTCTTTGTCGTTCTTTGAATGGCTGCATAGCACTCTGGTACCAAAATGTAATCTGCCAGCCCCCTGCCGACGGGCATTTGTATCACGTCCAGTGTTTTGCTATCATTACGCACGTATGTATCTATACGTCTGTGAGCGTGAGCACTTCTTTAGATTAAATTCTTAAGAGTGGGTCACCTGGGTTAAACCCCCGTTGGTTGAGTGAGTTGGGGTTGTTGCTCATTGCAGTGAGGCAGGGCGCAAGCCAGGGGGCGCTGTCGAGGCCTCGGTAGGAGGGTCGGGGAAGGACGCAGGGGACTCTGGGGAGGGCTTAAGGAGCCGGCTCTGCTCTGTGCTGGGTGCTGTCGGGACGCAGGAGGTTCCAGGACTGGGCAAATCCGTACATCGCGCGGGGAGAAGCGAGGACTGCAATGGGCAAAGAAGCAACAGGGTGGAGATCCGTCTGGCCCGTGTGTGGCGCGTGGTGCACGTTCTGTCTGCACGCCGCGGGCGTGCTGTCTTCCTGACGCTCACAGTCCGAGAGCCCTGCCTGGAGCTGATGTCCGGCGAAGGTGCTTGTGGTCAAGGCCCAGCTGTGAGGGGCAGCTTTCTTTCTCAAAGCGTGTGCACATTTCGCAGTCCGGGAAGCCCATTGCCAAATACCCTTCCACTGAGGTTGTGCCACGCACAGCCCTCGCTCCCCGCTCAGTCGTCTCTACCTTCAGGGCGTGTGACCCGGCTCTGGGCTCTCTGTCTGCCTGGCAGCCCGGCCTGGTGTGGGCAGCCTGGGCTTGGCCTCAGGCTCTGTGCTTGGCCCCCTCCCTACCCGGCACTGCCCCTGCACGGCTCTGCCCCTGCACGGCTCTCCCCTGCCACGCGCTCTGCCCTGCACGGCTCTGCCCCTGCACGCCTCTGCCCCTGCACGGCTCTGCCCTGCACGGCTCTGCCCCTGCACGGCTCTGCCCTGCACGGCTCTGCCCCTGCACGGCTCTGCCCCTGCACGGCTCTGCCCTGCACGGCTCTGCCCTGCACGGCTCTGCCCCTGCACGGCTCTGGCCCTGCACGGCTCTGCCATATGCACGGCTCTAGCCCTGGGTCCTGCTGCAGGAAAGAGCACCATCCACCCAGGTCAGCACGCATCGGGCACCGCACATCGATGGCAGTGTGTGTGTCCTTCGCCTGGCCGCTCCCTGGACCCCGTGGGGGCTGTGTCCCAGGAGAGGGCAAGAAGGCGCACGGAAGGGCCCCCAAGGAGGGGAGAAGTGAAGCGGCCCCAAAGAGAGGGCTTCGGGCTGAGCATGATCACCCTCTTCTTGCTTCACTCCCCCGTGGGCGACTTGGCAGGGAGGCGGAGGGGAAGGCTCACCCCCACCGCCCCCATCGCTATATGCCTCCCTCATCTGGCTCTGCCAGTCTTAGCTCTGCTGGCTTACAATGCTCGGAGACTCCTACCCAGGTGTTTTCAGCAATACTTCGAAATAGTCTGTCCACCATTACACTCATAACCATAATATATACCCCAACCTGGTCACATTTCCTGCCATTTCTGTTTCAGCTGAATTTGCCAACCAGTGCCTAGAGGCAGCACCTCACCAGGGGCTGGACTGTAGGGTCTCAGTTCTGCCACCTTCTGGCTGTGTGATCAGGATAGGTCACTCACCCTCTCTGGGCCCAAGGCCGAGCATCCCTCCGTACCCACAGGGCTGCTGTGAGGGGTGCCTGGCCTGGCCTCGGGCATCCGTGTGGCTTGCGATGCCCTGCTTGTTCTCCCACACTTACTCTGTCTCGCGCTGGGCGTGCTGCACGTGTTCGTCCTTGGGACGCTGCTGAGGACGTCATTTTGCTTTGCCGGGTGAGAAGCAGACACCTGACCTCCATCTGCGGCTCCCCTCCCCCGCTAAGCTCTGGATTCTCAGCATTCTTAGGAACTTGTTTGCCAAGTCAGCTGAAATCTTGAGCTTCTAACATTTTCTCCCCTGGCTCAGCATTTCTTTGGTGCCGTCACTGAGGTAGGAAGGTCTTGTGAGGACAGAGTGGATGCCGGGGGGAGGGGGATGGGAGAGAGCCTCCTGGGGATCCGTTCACGTTTGGGGCTCAGACCCTTGGCTGTGAGATCGGAGGGGCCACAGCCATGCCAGGGAGTGTCCCCCGCAGACCCCTCCCACCCCAGGCTGCCGAGCCCCGAAGAAAGAAGCCATCTGGGCTCTGCATGGAACAGGTGAAGGACGTGGAAAAACAGAGTTATGTAGTTTTTTTTTAAATTTTAAAGTATTTTAGAAATAAACCAGCATACCAAATATGTTATTTCACTGATAAATTTACTTTAAAAACATTGTAAGTAGCAAAAATTATATGTCAAAATGTAAGTGTATTCCTAAGGACAAATTTTAAGTAAATCACATCATGGGCGATGTGAGGATTTGAAGTGGCAGAGTTGGTGCTCACCTGTCACTCCGCTCCCGTTTTGTCCCCAACACCCAGCACAACCTTGACACTCAGACACTGTTTAAAGGAGTCCACGGAGCGAGTGCTGGGCAGCCCCGTGGGCATCACCACCGTCCGGAACATCTTGGAATGAGGGAATCCACTGTGCATGGAGCTGAGGAGTTGTTTGGTGGAAACTTTGTTTTGCAGACAAGAAAATGGAAACCCAGAGCCAAGGAGAGGACTTCCTCAGTTGCACCGCAAGTTCGTGGCCAGTGTCTGACCCAGTCTACTATAGTTCTCCTCTCTTACCGCTGAGATCACCCCCTGGCTGCGTAGGGCTCAGTGCAAGGGCAGGACCCTCCCTGGGCTTCTCCTCCATGGGAGTCTCTGCTTGTCTTCTACTTGTGCACGGGGAGCTGGCAGCACCCGGCAGCAGCCTGGACCGTAGCTGGGTGACTCGGGGGCTCTGGGTCTGCTCTTCTCACTAAGCAGGTTAAGGATGTGTCCGGGTCACACAGCTAGTCAGAGTCAGGTGCTCCTTTCAGTGTAGGGGTGACTGGGTGGAGTGCGCTGAATGGGGCTTTCTGGTGAGGCAGTGAGTGCCTCGTCCCCGAAGTATTAAAAAAAAATAATAATAAGATGGTCACTCACCAGAATCCCCCTGTAACCGTGACACAGGAGATTTTGATTTCTGGTCCGCTGAGCTGCTTCACAGGCTGGGCCCCAGGAAGAGGCTGGGTTCCAGCACATCCAGGCACCTCCGGGAAAGAGCGTTCAAGGGAAAATGCTGGGGGCTATTTCCATTTATTTGTATTTGCTGTCTTTGACTTTGGCTAGTAGCTCAGCTGCCAAGAGCTGCATGGGGGATGCACGTGCTAAGGGTTCTAGGGGTAAACTGAATGCCCTGGATCCCCGAGCTCCACCTGCAGAAAGTGCATCAGCCCCAGGGGTCTGCTTAGGGGCAGCAGGAAGTGTGGCACCCTGCGACACTTCCCCAGAGTGGCCACTAGAGGGAGCCCAAAGGCCTGCTCTCAGTGGTGCCCGGGGTGTGGTACCTGGAGGGCATCCCCCCGTTGCCCCATGATGTAGCTGCTAGGGTCATTTGTGAGCCATCATGAAACCCTTCTTGTTTCACTTCCAAACCTCAAATCCAATGTACAACCCAGAGACATTGTTCTGACCCCAAGTGCACCTCTGGAAGTTAGTCAAACAGCCAAAGATGCTCTTAACACACATGCATACATGGATGAAATTGCAGACAAGGACACCGGTGGTTGGGTACAAACACCAGGATTGTGACCACACAGAAGCAGACATACACACACATATAGTATACATGCATAAACACACGTGCACACACACATGAAATGCTCCTCCACATGCACAGGCAGAGCGGTGGTTGTGGACCAGTACATCCAACTACTCAATTCTAGAGAGGTTTGTCGAGCACTTTCTAAGGGCCACGTTTGGTGGCTGGGCTCTGGGGAGGCGGAGATGGGTGAGCCACTCATAGAACACCCCACAGCAACCCGCTACTCTGCAAAGCGAACACAGGTGTCAGGAGGGGTACACTCACAGGATTTGAGGGCTGAAAAGGAGGTAAATTCAGAAGTGCCTCCCGTTTATGGTGTTTTGTGGTTTCTAGAACACAACTACAGGTAGGCAGAACAGCTACCTGCTTTCTTTTTTACTTTATAATTTCTGTGACTCAGGAGAGGCTGGTCTCAGGTCTTAGAAGCTGGGCTGACCCCAAGTTCCTATTACTGTAACCGGGGCCTTCTGTGAGCCCCGGGGGTCGGTCCAGGCCTTTGCTGGGCCAGGGTTCCCGTGGGTATGACCAATGTGCCTCCACCTCCCAAGCCCCAGTTCAGGGCGTGGGCTTTGCAGACCACACTGCTGGACACTGCAAGACTGCACCCTGGACCCCGGCATGAAGCTCTTGGTCTTGTCCTTGATTTCAAGCAGTTCTTAGCTCCCAGAGAGAGCAGACTAAAAACCATCATCGACACAGTAGCTCATTAGGCATAGCTATTAATAATATAAAACACTTGATTTCTATTGAAATATTTTTATCAAAACATTTCTGGATAGAAAAGGCCAGAGATAGAGCACCTTAGATTGCCAGAGCTCGGAGGGAACTGAGAACCTGCTAGTCTAATCTTCTCATTTTACAGATGAGCCTGAGGCTTTGGGGTTGATTCTCACTAGGGCCCTTTGGAGATGCTTCTGGGTTGCCCCAGCTGCCGCGAACAGCAGGACCGGCCCGCTGCCCTATGGAGGGAGGCGGGAAAGGAAGTGCCCGGCAGCCATGTTGGCCTCTGTGGCCAGAGCCCAGGACGCAGCCCCCGGCCTGTGCTGAAACCAGGCCCTGGCACAGGAAGTGCTCGGAACCTTCCCTGCCGCTGCCATGGTGCCCACAACGCCGTCGTGGAAACCAAAGGCAAGTTCCCCTGCCCAAGCACCTTGGCCCCTTAGAAGAAAAGGGTGAGCCCCAGATGTCATGAGAGCTCCCAGGCTTCAGGCTGAGAAGACAACCAGCCCCCAGCTCCCAGGTGATTCAGAGACCAGTGCAATGAGAGCTCCTCCACTCGGCCGGCTTCTGCTGTGAACACACGCCTGGTGGGCGGAAGGGCTTCAGAACTGTAAGTACGACCGAGAAGGGCGTCGTAGTGACAGGTGCTGCCTGGACTTGGCTCCGTCTGGTCTACTCGGCAGGGAGGGGCTGTGGGGATTCCAGGCGAGGAAGCAGAGGAACCTGGGAGCCAGGAGACCATCACAAGTAGGTCCTGCCCACTCGGAGGGGCTTAGGACCTGACTCTCAAAACCCAACCAGGGGCAGATTTCCAGGGGGGGAGAAAAAAGAACAAATACATTTCCAGGCCATTGAGATATCCCTGGATTTCAAGATCAGCTAAAACAAAAGAAAAAAAAAAAACTCTTGGATAATTTGAGTCAAAGAAATGGGAGTTTCGGAAGCTCAGTGCAAACCCCAGCCTCCCCCTCTCTAACTGGAGAGATGTCCTGCAGGCGTGGAGGGAGCCCTGTCTGCGTGTGGTCCATGCTGTGCTGGCCAGGGCTGCTTCAGAATGTCCCCTCTGCTCTCTTCCCAGATTCCCTTGGGCTACGTTGAGGATTCAGTGGTTTATATCGAGGGCAGAGGGAAGCCGGTGAAGGGCTGTAAGCTGAGCTGGCCATTTTGACTCCCATGTGGAAAGGGATCAGAGAAGCATATGGGAATCACCTGGGAGTGGGGGGAACCTCTTTATGCAAGGTGGAAACTCAGCCACAAAGGCAGATGGAGGACTGATTCCATATCAAAGTTTTTAAATTAGAAATTATCAAAGGAAACACACACATACATACATACATATATATTTGACATTTTTCATCCCTAATCAAACAATTTATTTAATAAAAATAAAGTCAAATGACAGATGATACACTGGGGAAAACTTCTGCAACACGTGTGGCAGAGGTTGGTGTCCCTGTTATACTGACCGCTCCTAAAACTGCTAAGGCAACTGCAGCAACCCAGTGGGAAGATGGGAAAAGCCTATGATTACGCAATTTGCAGAAAAGGAAAATTAAAAGGCCAATAAATATGTAAAAGAATATTCAACCTTACTGGTTGCAGGGGAAGTTCAAATTAAAATAACAATCTGAAACCATCTGTCACTCACCAAATTGGCAGAAATAAATATAAGGCTAATACCTAGTACTGGAGGTGGTGTGGGAAAAGAAAAAAGCGTTTGTAAGTTGGTGATGGGAATGCAAATTGCGGCAACCTTTGGGAAAGTGGGTTGCTATTATCCATCTCAATTACAAAATACAAATCTCTGACATAACAATCCCACCTTGAAAAAGCTAAAGCAGTAACACACAAAGACGTGTGTGTGTATGTATGTGTGTATATATACATTTTAGATATAAGTATAGCTAACATACATATACACATGTATACAAAGTGTCCTAATATGTGTGTGAGTACATGTTTATTGTTCTCTTTGCTTATAAAGATAAAACATGGGAAATAACCTGAATGACTTTCAGCAGTGGAATATTCTAATTAATAATGTATCCACAGTAGGAACTATCATGTAGCTATTGTTATATTTTTCTTTACCTGTCTTTGCAATGGCTCACTTGCTTCAATGAGCAAATATTACTTTTGCAATTAAAATAATCCAATTAAGGCAAATGGAAATCCCATGAGGAGGGGTCATGTCCATTTTGCTCACTGCTGTCTCCCAGAGACAACTAGTGCTTCTTTGCATACAGCAGCTGCACAGTAAATGCTTATTGGCGAATGAACGAGCCGCTCCCCACTGCCACGGCTGCGACGCAGGTGAAGCGCTATTTGGGGAGCAAAGCACGGAGTCGCTGAGGTTTCTGGTCAAACAGGTGCCTTGACTTTTGCTGGTTTGACCTGCTCACCTGCTTCCCCTCTGCCTTTCTGATATTGCTCTGGGGAACCACCCGGCTCCCAAGGGTGGGCCCCGGAGCTAAGCCAGGCCAGTCGAGCCCTTTTGCCGAGAACCCGTGTTGAACAGAACCTCACGTAGCCAGCCTGGGGGGAGCCAGTTCATCCTAGAGCAGCGTTGATAACCGCTAACGGCTGGTGCCTGCCACCCAGGTCCCCGCAGTGCCTCCTGTCCTCCCCCAAACAGGTCTTCAGTTTTCCCTTCGATTCTGTGAGCACCGCCCTCCCATCACCTTCCTTCCAATAATCTATCCCAACCTCCCCCAACTCCATTAATGTGTTTGGCATACCATTAATCAAATGGGCTTCTGTTGCTTGCAACCAAACTGTCCCGATGACATCTGGAGACAGCTGAACATCCTTGCACTCATCCTCTCTCAAGCCCTTTCCAGCGAGGTGACCATCAGCCCACCGAGCTCCAGGACGGCCCTGGTCTGTCACCGTGGTGCGGGCCTAATTTATTAATATCATGGGTTATCTCCTGTTTTGCTTTTTCCGAGCCACTTTTCTAGAACAACAGCAGAGAATTGTCGGTCTCCTAGTGTGTATTTTAAAAACTAAATATTCTCTTGATTTGATACATAACCCCTCTTCCAGGCTTACTCATTATTACTTTTCTAGCAAATCATAGATTCTTTCGGCCAATGTCCTGCGTAACACCCTGAAGGGACCCTTGGAAACTTACTGAAAATTTCAGCTTTAACTCTTCTGTCTTCCAGGTGCTTATCTTTTTCCGTCTGTGTGATCCCCACTACCATCCGTGAAGATGCTGCATCCAGTAAGTAGGTCAGCTGCACGAGAAGGCAGGTCGTGGAGGGAGAAGCACTTGGTCGTGGTCATTTTGCCGAGTTTCCCCGAGGGGTTGGGCCAGCGCCGCTGAGAACGCAGCGTGTCTGGCTGACTCTGCCGGGGCAGCTCGCCCGGGCAGCCCCCGCGTGTGCACTGCCCGCTGCTTACCCCGTGCACACGGCAGGGTGACAGCTGCACCCAGACTCCACAGTTTTCCATGCCCCCCCATATTCTAGCACTATACTAGGGCGTGTTCCCCAAACTTTATTTTATCTGACACTTTTGACAACTTTAGAAGCAGGATGATGTCACCACCACCACCACCACCACCACCATCATCATCATCATTGTCATCATTCCCATTTCACGAACGAGGACTGACAGCCTCAACAGGTTAACTGACTTGCCCAAGTCAGTCGGGCAAGTAATAAGTGGCAGTAACAAGATTTGAACTCAGATCTTCCACCCTGTGGTCTTTCCACCACTCTGTGGGTGTCTGGGAGGCTTAGGCTCAATCACACCCATTCCTGTGGTTCCCTCATGGTGCCTTTATCCTTGCCAGGTTTCTTTGAGCCATCAGTCTGAGGTTTACATTCATGTTGGGTATTGTCCTCCTCCCTTAAGGAAATTGCTAAAATTTTGCTGGGGCCTTCAAGAACATTTCTAAGTAAAAATCTCTGCCCAGCCACCCAGCAGGTCCACTCCTGGGTGTACAACCAAGAGAATTGGAAGACAGGTATTCAAACAAAAACTCATATGCAAATATTGGCAGCATCCCCTCACAATAGTGAAAAGTTGGAAACAACCCCAGGTCCAACGACTGAGAAATGGGTAAACAAGATGTGGTATGTTCACACGATGGAATATTATGCAGCCTTAAAAAGGAAAGAAGTACTGATACGCAGATGAACCTTGCAAACACTATGCCAAGTGACAAAGCCATACACAAAAGGCCACGTATCGTGCAATTCCACATACATCTAATATCAAGAATAAGCAAAATCATAGTCAGGGCCGGGCGAGGTGGCTCACGCCTGTAATCCTAGCACTCTGGGAGGCTGAGGCAGGCGGATCACTCAAGGTCAGGAGTTCGAAACCAGCCTGAGCAAGAGCGAGACCCCCATCTCTACTAAACATAGAAATAAATTAATTGGTCAACTAAAAATATATATATATAAAATTAACCTGGCATGGTAGCACATGCCTGTAGTCCCAGCTACTTGGGAGGCTGAGGCAGGAGGATAGCTTGAGCCCTGAAGTTTGAGGTTGCTGTGAGCTAGGCTGACGCCATGGCACTCTAGCCCGGGCAACAGAGTGAAACTCTGTCTCAAAAAAAAAAACAAAAAAAAAACAGAAAACAGCTTGGTGGTTGCCAGGGGCTAGGGAGGAGAAGGGAACAGGAGTGACAGCTTAATGGGTACAAGATTCCTTTTGGGGGCAATAAAAATGTTCTGGAACCAGATAGTGGTGATGGTTGCATAACATTGTAAATGTACTAAATGCCACTAAATTGTGTGCTATAAAATGGATAAAATTTCATGTTGTGTATTTTACCACAATAAAAAAAAAGTCCCTGCCCAAGATCACCACAGTTTAATCTCTCTCTGAATGAAAAGTTAGGGTAAGTACTTAAAGAACGGTACTTGAAGCATAATATTAATACTACCCTGTTCGCAGATTCTTCAGAGCTACCTTCAGAGAAACAATCTTTCTCCCTGAACTTCTGGCTTTGGCACTGCTTGTCCCAGATTCTAAATTCCAAATTACTTTGTAGCTCAAGATCCTTGGTCTAGGAACACAGCATCTTTGCCTTGAGGTGTCCCGTGAGAAATATTGGCCACGTTTGAAAATTAACCGGCATTTAAAAATTTATCCTGATTTCCTTCCTGCTATATGATCTGGAAAATCTGACATTTATGTGAGTTTAAAAAAAGATTTTTTTTTTCTCTCTTTTCTTTGATTCCCAAGACGCACAAATCCCGGCTGGAGCGCCGGATAGTTGGCTCAACCAACCGGTGGCGTTTCCCCAAAGATTCTTTCTCCGGGGACCTGCTGGGACTTTCCCAGAGGTTCAAGGCTTTGGGCGTGGACTTTGATGAAGCTCTGAAGAACCCAGACAGGTGGGAGAACCGAGGGCCGCGGTGGGGACTGGCCGTGGGCGAAGCTCCTTCCTGGGAGGGAAGGGGCCTGACGCCGGGCCGCCGTGATGGGCTAGAGGGGCTGTCACGGACACGGCTGCCAAGAAGGCTCCCTCTGGGACCATCCCACAGGCACGGACGGGCAGAAGTGTCCACGTCCTCTCAGAATGTCTGTGGGGGGTGACAAGAGTGCAGGGCAGGGAGAGGGAGACTGACAAGTTTTTTCCTAGATTTTCCCTTGCATTGGGAACTTTGCATGCTAAAAGGATTCTAAGTTTATCATCCAGGGACCACTGACTTCTTGACAAACAGAATGTAGTCCCGGCTCAGTGTCTGGACACCCCAGGGATGTCCGTTCCACCCAATCGCTGATCGAGATTTCCGTGGATCACGTGGTATTCTGAGCTCTAGGCTAGATCGTCACTTCCCCGTGTTCTGAGTTCTGCCTCGCCCCTCCTGGGGACACGGAGCAGGACCCTACTGCAGAAGGGACATCTCCTTTCCCTGGTGCGTGGGACCTGGCCTGATGTCACCACCCTCCCTGGGCTGGCAGCGTCTGCCTTGTGAGCCCGTAGTGGAATCTACCTTAGCATGGCTGTGCCCCGCCGGCAGCCTCTGGCACGGAGCGGCTTGCTGAGCCAGAAGCCCAACCTTCCCTCCTGAGACCCACCGGCCAGCCGCTCCGCTGCCCAGGTCCTCGGTGCCACGCCAGGCTGGGAAGCAGGTGCGGGAGCCGGGCCTGGGCACGGAGGCAGAGTGATCCCCAACACTGATGCGGGGGCTGGGCAGCAGGGGTGAAGCTCTCCGGGGGTCACCAAGCTAAGCAGAAGGTGGTGGCCCGGGGCAGAAACCTGAGGACAGTGCAGTTGGTGGCGGGCCTTAGCACTGTGCACGCAGTCTGTCAGGCAGGGTTGGCATCTCCACTCGTCACTCACTCGTTCCGTGACCTCTAGCCAGTCGTTAAAAATCTCTTGGAGCCTCAGTTTCCCCATTTGTGAAATGGTGGTAATAGCACTTCCCTTGAAGAGTTACCTTGAGGATTAAATCAGACAATATATTGAAAACACCCAGCGTTGTTTCTGGCAAATAGCAGGTGCTTAACAAACAGCTATTCCCTTTTTAAATAGTTCGCTGCAGTCGGCACCCTTATCTCCATTTTACCTGTGCAGAGACCAGGAGGCCGGCCCACGGTCACGTGGCAGGACGTGGCAGGACTGGGGTCCGTGGGACTCTTCCCAGTTAATCGAGTTGGAATTTTGCGTGTTCTAGTTGTCAACCCCAAAGTCCTTGGAGGGTTTGCTGCAGGAAGTCCTCCCATCCTCGAGAAACGTATAGAATTTCCCTGTCCCTCTCTCTGTCACGGCTCGTGACCTGGGGGAGTGGACTCCAGCACAGCAGCACAGCCCCAGCCTCCCCACCTGCCCCTTCCTCTCGGGCCATTAAGTCCCAAACGGTGAAGAGGACGGCTCGTGGGTGCCACTTATTCGGGTTGCTTTTCCAGTGGTCCTCAAATGACCCCCGCTGTTGGGCCTGCAGAGCCCGAGTGAGAAGCCATGACCTTGACACACAGGCAGGCGGTGTGGCTGGTTCTGTTGCCTGGCACCTCCCGGCTCAGCGATGACAGTGATGTTTGTGAGGGTGCTGGGGCTCATGGGCCTTGCACCGTGTTTTCCAAAGTCTGTTGCTGCATTTTGAGGTCGCATTCTGAACCCTTGACCCAGGCCAGCTCGTCCCAGACGTGTCACCCAAGCCACGAGGGGGACTAAGGGAGGGAGCGAGGGTGGCTTGGCTCAGGTCCGCCCCTCCCGCTGCATAAACAGTCACGCTCACATGGCCTTCCGGGCTGAGTCACCGGAGCCACCCCCTGCCCTCGGAAAGGGCAGCACGTCGTCAGTATTAATTCTGGGCACAGGCTCCCACCCGACGCTTCCTCCGCGTGCCCCGGCTGGGAAGGCCTCCTGGGATCGTTGGAAAACAGCCTGGCAAAGGTGACGCCACATGACATAGACCAGCTGTGGTTGCCGAGTGTCCCTCGGCTGGTTCGCTTGGCTTTCTTGGGATGACCGTCTTCAAGCCGTGAATATGTGACTCAAGTTTTGTTTCATTTCCTTGCTGGGCGTGGTGAGGACATCGTGTTTATAGGAAAACCTCTTATCTCTGTTGTTGCTCGTTCGTTCAACTAGCGTTTACTGAGCACCTGCGTGGTGGCATGTGGGGGGTCACAGCAGCAAAGACACCTCCGCTCTGTCCCCCGGAGGATGTGCCAGTCAGCAGCCAGCCGAAGGGCACTGCACAGGGGTGTTCATGGGGTGAAGGCAGGCTGGGTGGGGGAGGGTGCTGGCCTAGTCCTCCCCCCACGACCTCCCTCCCCCAGCAACAACTAAGCTTACCCTGAAGCATGAGCAGGAGCTCGGCAAGGGCGAGGGCAGGGGAGCATCTGGGAGCAGGAACAGCGTATGCAAGAGAAGGAAGCAGGAGCTGGGCTCCGGGCTGTTGGAAAGGGCTGGAGCCAGAGAGTTGGGAGACGAGGCCACAGAGAGAAGCAGGGGCTCGTTGGCCGTGCTGAGGAGTGTGGGCTGTCCCCCAGGAGCTCGCTAGGGGATTCTCAGCAGGAGAAAGGCAAGGCCAGGTTTGCGGGGTGCACATTCAGGGTTTGAGGGAGGGAGGGAGGTGTTGGCAGCACCTGGGAGGAGATGATGGCAGCTTGGACGGAGGTCATAGCAATAAGGGCAAAGAGAGATGGATGCATCCAAAAGACATTTCGTCACATCTGGGCAAATGATGAGGTGTGCCAACACTCAGTATGCTGGCTTGGGCAACTGCAGGCTGGTGGTGCCTTTTCCAGAAATAGGACCTTGTGTAAGGAGCAGGATGGGATTTCAGCAGATTCTGAGTTTAGCTCTCGGACATTCTGAAACTGGGGCCCATATGACCTCTCCATAAAATTGTTTGGTGAGTTAATGTGTCAGAAATGAGCAGAACCCTCTAGTCTTTTCTCCCGTAGATATTTATTGAGCACCTACTATATGCCAGATATTGTTTTAGACACTTACCAAAGAAGGTGAGGCCTCAAATACCTCCTCAGTGAGGCCTACCCACAAGCCAAAGACAGGAATCGACATTCTGAGCCAGCCAGCAGACAGCTTGTAGTTTTTCAGATCAGCAGACAAGTGGTGACCCCAGGAAACCCTTCCAGAGGCGAAACATGATTAGATTGATCAGTCGAGACTGTAGGGAGGCTTGCACTAGAATAATGTGTGTTGCAGTTGGAGAAAAATGTCAGTATTCATTCCTGGATTTTTTGTTTGTATTTTATTTTGAGGTTATGCATTGCACAACTTCAGAAACTTTTCTCTGAGAATTCCAAGCACAAGGACATCCAAACCGGGGAGGCAGGTGAGTGTTTGGCACCCAAGGATTAAGTCATAATGTTGCTGACCTCAGGGTTGTCTTGTGACCCTTATGGACAGAAACCAGCTTGAAGGCCAGGTCACTAGTCTATAAGTTGCACATCTTACCCGCTGCACAGAGTCTAACATATAACAGGTGCCCTGTAACTATTTGTGAAATGTGCAATGAATGAAGCCAAGCTTGTCAAACATATTTTCATATGTTAATGGGCACAATAAAGACAAACGTGTTGATGTCAATGAACAGCTTTTGGGTCGGAAGGCTAACCAGGCACCACCAAGCACAGGGCGGCTATTCTTTGTCCCCTTGGGCTCTAACCTGTCATGACTTGGAGTCCGCATCTTCACTTGCCCAGGAGGACTTTTCTGAGGTAGGGTCAAGAATCAGAATTGGTCCTTTCAGCTAGAAAAAGATGCATTGAGCCTCATGAAGAGGCTGGACAGGTCAGCTCCTTAAAGCAGCTTTTTTTTTTTACAAACCTCACCACATGGTATGGCTGGATCAGAGCCAGCCTCCTTTCCAAGGAGAGGCTAGTAGATTGAATTCAGATTGAAGAGGAGAAGTGGTTGGAGCCATCTCCTGGTGCGAACTCTGGGATTGATTGGTGATGTCTGCCATGCGCTGCCCGTCCTGGAATTGGAAACAGACATCCATGCTTTATCCTCAATTCTGTTCCGGCTATAATTTCCCTTATGTGTGAGATTTTTTTCTAGCCCGGCATAACCAGACCACCTGAGGCTGTCTAAGACTTGAGAAGCAAACCCAGGTTCTGAACCACCTAGCACCAAACAACGTTGCAAAGTTGGTGACGAATAATAATAATAATAGTAATGGGAAGAAGAAATGGTACCCAAAGTCCCATAGACAAACTAATGGTAAAGCCAAGAAATAAGTAGATAGGGCTAGCAGTTCTCCAGGTTCTGTGTGGCCCTGAGATTTAGGGTTGGGGAGACTGCCCCCTGCACCACCCTCCCCTCCACTCAGCACTGTCACAGAAGCTGAGCCCTCTTTCCCCCGGTCTCCTGTGCCTCACCTGCCCTGGCACCCTTGGCTCCGCCTGCCTATGCCACCCACAGGCTAGATGCTCCCATACAAAGTCTTCTACAGTTTGCAAAGAGCCTTCTTCACGCTGTCATCTTCCTTCAGACTTTCTGATGAAACATGTGCTTTCTAGCAGTCCCCATTCCCTTGAGGACAGTGAGGCTCTCAGGAACTGTGCGCTCCCTGATGAGCACTTTCCCGTGTAGCACTTCGCTGTTGCCTTTCGGATGGGTGACGTTTAGGTGCTGATAGCCTCGTAGTCCTCAACAGGGCACTGGGGAGTGATTTTGCCCCACTGGGGACATGTGGCAATGTCTGGAGACATCGTTGGTTGCCGCAGCTGGGGAGGGCGTGCTGCTGGCACCCGGCGGGGTAGCGACCGGGAAGGTGGCCGGGTCTCGTGGGCGCACAGGACACCCCCCACCACAGGGAGTCACCGCCCCAAATCGCAACAGCGCCAAGGCTGAGACACGCGGGAATGGGGGAAAGCAGGGTGAGGCCCCAGCGGGTCCCAGCCAGCCTCCCTGCCCCATGAGCCTTTTCCGATTGCCCGAGCAGGAGGGCGGCTCACGGGCCTGCAGGTCCCACGGCTGTTAGTCGGCAGCTCGCTGGGGTGCTCAGCACTTCCTGCGTGTTGCAGTGTCCCCCTCCAGTCTGCAAGCCCCTGAGGCCCAGGTTTCATTGCTCGTTCCTATACAGCCTGGGAAGCTGCCTGGCCGCTCGTGTCTACCTAGTAACTGCGGCGGAGCAAAGGCACGTGGGGAGAAGTCGCCAGTGCATCTTCGGGTGGGGAGGCTACTGACGTGTCTGCTCAGCGTCCTCTTCTCTCCGCAGATGTGATTCTTGAATGCCTGGGCTTCAAGTGGGAACTCCACCAGCCCCAGTTTTTCCAGTCCGAGACCTTGACCAAGCTTTACCTGGCGGCCCTGGCGAGGGACACCGTAAGTCCCCTGAAGGAACTGGAGAAGCTTCTGCGAGGTACTTTGTCACTGGCACCGAGAGCCCCAGTGCCCTCTAGTTCGTGAAGCCCCAGCTTGGCACTTGGTTATCTGTCTGGGGACCACGGTCGCTCTGGCGGTTAGAAGCGAGGCTCCTTGGGGTGACCTGATCACATGACCTAGCCTCAGTTTCCTCAGCTGTGAAATGGGGATAGTAGTTCTTCTGGTGTGGCTTTGAAGACTAGAGGAGGTGAGAGTGTGGACTTCTAGAACAATGCCTGGCACGGCGGGCACTCAGTAGGTGTCAGCTGTCCTGATGATGACCCGGGTCTTGTCTGGCCAGCTACGACATATAGACTCTACCTGCTTCTTTGAGGAGAGAAAACGGGCTGTGTGGAGCGCTCTGAGGGCTTTCTGGAAGGAAGGTACATCTGTGGCTTCGTTGGCCCTGAGCGTGCTGGTTACAGGTCTGTGCGTGCACACAGCGATTTCACTGTCTTGCCTTGCCACCTTCGCCTCATTCTGACATGAATTTAGGTCACTTCTGTCTTTCTTTGTCTCCTTTTTAAATCCATACCATCCCCGGCTGCTCTATAGGTCTTCTCTGGCCATATTGCCAACTTCTTCTTTGGGCAACAGGTTGGCCTCACCTCAGGCTGACTCACAGCAGGTTGTCATGGAAAATTCAAGGCCCCCCAGCCAGCTAGCCTGCCGGTCAGCATGGGCTCGCATTTCCAGGATGTGGCGGCGAAGCCCTGTTATTCTGGAGTCAGATCAGGAACCAGAGCCCCCGTCTCAGCCCTTGCCGGGGTTGAGAGCCCCGCCGCCTGCGGGAATTGCTGGCCCCAAAGCCTCTGACTCAGCCCTTCCTCGCGGAGGGGGCCGTGGGGGCCAGTGCGGCTTCCCGCAGACCACAGCCACCTCGGCGCTGGCTCGCGGCCCTGGTCGTCTTTGCTCTTCCCGAGCATTTGTCCTGGCGCCTTCAACAGCGGGCTCGCGTCTCCCCCGTGCCCAGGTCAGAGCGCTCACCAGGCCAACGGTGAAAGGCTCTGGTGACCAGACGGTGAGTTCATGGAAACGCAAGACTCTGGAAGGGGAAATGGAGTCATTGTTAACATTATGGTCTTGAACGTGTCTAGAACGGTTTCCCTAAAGGAAAATATTTGGCCCTGCTACGACAGCCGCGCTGATGCAAGCCCCCCCGCTGGCCTGGCCAGGCGACATCGGGAACGTGCAGAGATGGAAGCCCAGTGCCCTCGACTGTCACGGCTCTCCAGGTCTCCCCGAAGGCACCACGGACTGATCGGGCCCTGGGACTCGTGTCTCCGGGACCGTCAGTGCGAACAGGCACAATCCTTCGTGTGCCTTTAAAATAAGAACATGCCTCGTCGTTACTGCTCACGTGTGCGTGAGAACACCCGCGGCGCCGGCCCGGGTTTCTGCTCGAGCCCTGGAGCAGCGGGCTCTGCACGGAGGCGCGGGCTCTCCCAGCCGCCTGGTTTCCTTCCCCCGGGAGTCGAGGAGCAGCTGTACTTGGGCAGGACACGTTTACCCTCTAGGAAGGAATCCAAGAAGGAAACGGCACCTTTACCGAAAACAAACCAACACCCTGGCTTTGGAGAGCCTCAGAAGCATAAAATCACATTATTCCTTTTCCGTCCAATTCTGGGGCCGCACTTAACCCGGAGGCTGTGTTGGACTTCTGTCTTCCACTTGCCCCGGCCCAGCCGGTAACCTCCCTCCCTTCCTCCCACAGACGCTGAGCGCTTCGCTTGTGGCAGGCTCTGTGCTAGGAATGATGATAAAACACGACAATCAGCACGGCACATGATAATACTAACTGCCACCCCCTGCGTGCCTACTGTGTGCCAGGCACTCATGTGTGTTCCCCTGCTAACTCCCCGCAGTGGGGTGGACAAGTGGACGGGAGGCCACGTGGTCATGCCAGGGAGTAGGGACAGTGACCCAGATCCAGAGCAAGCCTGGCGCTCAGTAGGTGCTCAGTGGGTGTTTGCTGAGCCAGGGGCAGAGGCTAGCCGGGGAGCGTGGGGAAAAGGGTCTTTGTTCTCTTTTTCCCTGCAGTCGTTGTGGTTGTGAAGAGTGAGTCGCTTTTTGGCTCTTTCGTTTCTTTTATTACCTGGAAGCTTGTGCTCTCTGTCAGTGGAATCCATGCACTCCAGTATGCAGCCGGTATTGACTGAGCCCCAGTGTGGGCTGTGGTGGTGGTGGGGGGGTCCAGGGGGTGCAGTGGCAGGTAAAGCCTCTCTGCTGAGCTGCCCAGCGGGCAACAGTGCACAGAGACGTGGTGTGATAGCAGCTCTTGCTGAGGTCAGTCTGTGACCTCAGACAAATAAAGTCATTTATCAAGGGAGGTGGGGGTGGGAGTGCCACCTTGCCTGTGGGGTCAGGGAAGGCCTCCTGGAGGTGGGGACATATGAGCAGGCCCCTGATGAGGTACAGCGGGAGGGTGGAAGCCTGCCCTGTCCTGGGTGGAAGCCAGCCCTGTCCTGGGGGGAAGCCAGCCCTGTCCTGGGGGGCAAGCCGAGAGGAGGCGGTGTTGGGGCACAGTGGACAGTGTGATGGGCAGGTGGGTCTTGGGGCCGCTGGTGGGGCCTTGGCTAATGTGCCAAGGGCGTGGGGTGGGGGTGGGGACCTGAGAGCCACACTGTGCTCAACTCACGTTCTCAACGGCATGGAGTGGATGGGGTTGGCTAGCCATGAATTGCGCTGCCTCCCCTTCCTCCTGGAAGCCCTCAGTGCCAGGGTCCCCAGTTTGAAGATCGGGGGGAGCAGAGCCCCAAGAGCCCCTGGGTGGATGTCTCAGTCCCACGTTAAACCTTCAGCAGGTGGTCACTGTGCTCCCACCTCGTGCCTGCCCTGCCCCAGTGTGGAAACAACTGAGGCCCACTCTCTGCCCTCACCCTGCTCACAGCCTAACCAGGGGAAGGGGAGGGCGTGGGGAGGGCAGAGAGAGAGCTAGAAGTACCGTAAGTGTGTGAAGCGCAGTGTGAGCACCAGTTTCCCAGTCGTGACAATGCACAGTGGCTATGCAAGATTGCTGGGGGAAGCTGGGTGAGGGGTACATGGGAAACTCCATACTATTTTTACAACAACTTGTGAGTCTTAAACTATTTCAAAATAAATTGTTTTAAAATTGCATCCACTAAACAAACGAAATATAGTACGACGCATGCCAAGCTCAAGGTTGTGGGAAGAGTAGTGGGAGCCTCTCACTGTGTTGTCACGATGGTTACCAAGCACACACCTCCTTCTCCAACTTCCTTTACTAGCTCAGTCGCCTGGGAAGACCAAAGAAAGAGACCCTGTCAAAAAGATAATCATTTCCTTGAAGATCAATGACCCGCAGGTCACTAAATTTGGTAATGTATGCATCGTGTTCGTAATTCTGAGAATGCCTTTGAGCAAATGGTCCTCCCAGATTCAAAAGCAAACAGACAACAGCAAACAAGCGGTACACAGAGTTCAGTCCTTGTTAGTGTCAGAAATGCCTGAATGGGGCTAGAAAGCCAGGGAGACCTGGAGAAATAAATGGAAACTACTAAAGACAGGGGCTTGTCCTTGGGAAGGGCATGAGGGCAGCAGAGACGGGAAGGAGCAGCAGGCTTTGCAGACGGAGGAGGGACAGAGCAACTCCCCTCCGGGCTCACACGGCCCGTCCAGGCAGCCCCCAGGCCCAGCCTTGCTCCCAAACAGCACTTGACTGCCCCCTTCCTGCCAAGGACTGCCACCCCCACCCCTGCTGGCTTCCAGCAGCAGAAGCCGCCGCAGGGGGTCCCCATCTCTTCCCAGCCACCCGGAAACAGACTGCTGTGTCAGTGCAACATGCGTGATGTCACGTGACGACACGGGTTAAGAATCACTAGGTCAGGGAATAATGCACGTAGGCACGGGTTCGGCCGTTTGTCCTCAGAGCACACTGCGGCCACACAGCAACGCTGTTTGGGATCATGTCCATTTGGGCCCTAGCCAAGGCAGTTCACTTCCTGAACTGTCAAATTATTCTGGCTCTTTCCAAGAGCCCTCAACCTTTTTTGGAGACCCCAAACTGCAAGGACAGTCTGCTGTAAACTCTTTGTCATCTCCAGACAGTAAGTGCACCCACTTGGGCGTACTGGGGCAGTCACCTTCCTGCACAGGCCACGGGCCCCAGGTTAGGAGAGAGCCCCAGGCGGTGTCATCCCTGAGGTGACCCCAAGTTGCAGATGAGGACGGGCTTAAAGCAGGGTCCTTTCGGCAGGGGCTCAGCGCTCTTTAGCTTTGTCCTCGGCGCCTTTGGGAAGGCCGGGTGCCCAGGTCGCCGGCTGCCTGGGCGCTGTCTGCAGCCAGGCCAGGGCTGGTGCCTTTTGCCTAAGGGCACCTGTGTCCGCCCCGTGCAGAGGGAGGGCGGCCGGGGGAGTCCTGCGTGCGGGGCCCGCGCTGACGGTCTCTCGCCTGCTGCCTCCCCAGCCTTCGCCACGGCCCTGAAGAGCCTCTACCTGAGCGAGGCGGACATCCACGCGGACAACGTGCTGGGGGTGCTGGCGTCCGCGCACATCCTGCAGTTCAACAGCCTGTTTCAGAGGTGAGGGCGGCGCGAGGCCCGGCCCATCTGCGGGGACATTCCTCCTCCCTGGGCTGACACACCCCGGGTTTCTTCGCATCAAGCGTGGCTTTGAACCTGGGAAAGGGGTGAGATGCTAATTCACACCAACGCGTTACGGGCTCATGACTGAGCCATCTCTCCACTCCCAGGAATGAACTGCCAACGGGGAATTTCTGCCACTGGGAGAGGTTTTGTGGGTGTGCAGAGTGACAGCCCCGTAGCCCTCCAACCAGGCTTGTCTGTCAGTGTCACCTCTCTCCATTGTTGGCTGAGAAGTCTCTCTCCCTTGAGTGGTAGCCACAGAAACTGGCCACTGGAGGACACGCTAACTTTCCCCAGCCCTGGCAGGCCTCACTTTGCCTGCTCGTTCAGATAAAGCCTTGGTTTTTCCCTTTTTTTTTTTGAGACAGAATCTCACTCCGTTGCCCGGGCTAGAGTGCCGTGGTGTCAGCCTAGCTCATAGCAACCTCAAACTCCCGGGCTCAAGGGATCCTTCTGCCTCAGCCTCCTGAGTATAGCTGGGACTACAGGCATGCGCCACCATGCCTGGCTAATTTTTTCTATATATTTTTAGTAGCGATGGGGTCTTGCTCTTGCTCAGGCTGATTTCGAACTCATGACCTTGAGCAATCCACCCGCCTTGGCCTCCCAGAGTGCTAGCTAGGATAAATAAGCCTTGTTTTTTCTTATAAATAATATTTTTATTGTTACAAATGTTATGCGCGGTCATTGTAGATCTTTTGGAAGAGAGGAAAATGCAAAGATCAAAGTCAAAATTGCCCGTCCATCCTACTGTATGTCTGGGGACACAGCCTCTCCCCAGGCTGCCCATCAGGAGGGCTTGTCCGGGGGGACCAGGGGGCATTCAAGGTGGGTTGGCATTGGACGTGAAAGCTTCCTCATCCTGACAAGGGCCACCTGTGCTCCGAGACACCTAGTGCGCTTGTGGGTGCTGAAAGTGTGAGGAGGGAGAGACAACCGAGCGCTCCTGCCTGTGTCCAAGCAGCCTAGCAGGGCGGCGGGCCAGAGCTCCCAGTTTGCTCGGACTTTTCTGCAGAGACAAAAGCAACTTCTCACGTGAGATGCAGGGTCTGAGCTCGGCCCTGCCATAAGCTGCCCCTTAGCCTCCACCTACCTCAGTGGTCTCCGTGGTAAAATGCGGCTCATAATTCTGTCCCGTCTACCTCCCAGGACTTCGCTGGGGCTCGGGGGTGTCAGCACAAAGGGCTCCGTGACGGAGTGCCTGCCTCGGTCAGGGATGACCTCAGTCATCTTCCCTGCAGCCCTGGGAGGTAGTGCCGGTACTATGCCCATTTTACAGATGAGAAAACTGAGACTTTGAGAGGTAAGTAGCTTTCCCAAGGCCGCACAGCTTCCAAGCAGAGAAGCCAGGACTTGAAGGAGGTCGAGGGGCCTGAGAACCTGTACCCCTACAGAGTACTATTCTGCTTTGCTCAAGTGAGGTGGTAACGTCGTCACCTGCTCATTTGTGGTCCTGACCCTCCCTCCAGTGGCGTTTGGTCAGGTGAGCACTCGCTTGTCAGTTTATTCAATCACACCTTCCTTCATTCATCTTCTCCTTTAAGGACCATTTCTTGGGCTTTCCCAGGATGTCAGGGAGACAGTGAGGGACCAGGTGGGCAGGGTCCCTACCCTCTCAGGCCCCCTGCCCAGCAGTCTCCAAGGCACTGGAAATGAGTAAAGGTGAGTGGCATGAAGGGTGGGGATTCCCAAATGGACAGTGTGGTGCTATGTGTGATTAATTTCAAGCCAAATTAGCATCTATGATAAGAAAGCACATTTCTTGGAACTCCTCCCCCCATTTTTGTGTAATATTCCTCCATTCCATTAGTGCCTATGCAGGTGTACATGAATTAAGTGGAAAATGATTAATGGGATTCATTTTTCTAGGATTTTTCCCCTTCTCCTGGGCTTTCTCAGGGATCTGTGCCTACTGTACCCATGTCCTGAAGAGAGAGGTTGTGTTCCGTAGCTTTAGATGTCCCGATTCCTGATGTAATTCCACATGCAGAGGGAGACCTAGGGCCGGCTCTCTGGCTGGCTTCATCTCTTACCTTAGTTTCTTCACCTGAGCAACTGAATGAATATCCCGTCCAAGCCAAGAGGGAACATTAGCTGCTCTATAGAAGTCAGAGACAGGACTTCTCCTGGGACCTTACAGGTTTCAACTCACTTTTTGTAGGGTCCACACATCTAGCTTCAATCCCACAAACATTTTTTGAGCAGGAGCCTCATTCCTGGCAGGGGTGGGGAACCTGCAGCCTTCTGATTGCAAAATTGTTAAAGCTTCATCTTACTCTGCTGCACCCTTTGTAATAAAAGGATCTGTTCTGCATCATTGGGATTTAGTCAAAAGGCCACTTAAGGACCTAGATGGCCACATGTGGCCTTAAGGCAGCAGGTCCCTTCCGCGGGGCTGGGTGGCCGTGGTAGATGGGAGGTGAGCAGCCATAGGCAGAGCCAGGTGGGTCTTGGAGCCATCTAAGGAATCTGGCCTTGACCCTGAATATGATGGGTGGAAAGTCTGGGTGTTCCTGAGGTTCCCCACACCCCTTCCATTGCATATAGCACCCATCTGCGGCCCAGCATAGCTTTGTGATAACTGCTAAGCCACAGCTTCCTGAGCAGCTATTTCCTGGTGCTGACCAGGAAGACATCCCTGGCCCTAGTCTGTATGCCGGAAGAGCAGCTTCTTTCTTGAAGCAGGGCCTCCGGCCACTTCTGTCTCGAGCCTCAGCTGCCCTACCTCCAGCCCAGGTTGGAAGCCCCGCCTTACTTTCCAAATGCTTGTCCTGGCTTGTCCAGGGCTGAACCAAGCAGGGCAGGTTTCCTTTCTCCTCCCCTGCCTTGTTTTGAATGCCAGCACGAAAGGGCTTTGCAGATAATGAGCCAAACTCATCATTCTACCGATGAGCAAATTTAGGCCTGTCTGAAGCTGACGGGACCTGCCTGAGATCCGACAGATAATTGTGGAAGGACTGGGAATCTAGGGCAGAGGCCAGGGCGGGCTGCACCAGTTGGGCTGGGCCTGGCCTGCCCATGAGACGGTGCAGTTGGCAGGGGTGTGGCAGCACGGGCCTCAGTGTGTGTGTGTGTGTGTGTGTGTGTGTGTGTGTGTGTGTGTGTGGAGTGGAACAGAAATGCCCGAGATCACTCTGATAGCATCATAACATCCAGGCCCTAGATGAGACCCCAAAGTTCATCCTACCTGATCTCCCAATCAGTGGGAAATTGCCTAGATGGCTATTGAGGTCTGAGTCACACACACCTAAAGCTGCCTTGGACATGGCCAGAGTATTTATTCATTTATTGTTTCTTACCTTGTTCTATTAAAGGTTTTAGGTGGGGTAAGCAAATACATAAAATAAAACAATAGGACACTAAACTGTTTTTTTTTTTTAAGGAGAAATAAAAACAAGGATGGAGAGGCTAAAACTGTATACATAACAATCTATACTCTTGCTAAGGTGGGCCACATTCAACTCTGAACCTCCTAGCAGCTGTGATGAAAGAGGAACTTGATTAGTAACATTAGATAAAAGTCTACAAAATAAATCACTCAGGAGAAGCGCAGCTACTATTGGTGGTAACACCATGGGCGTCTTCATTGGATGACTCCAAGTGACATAATGATCATCTCTCTCAACCCAGAGCTCTTTGTAACAGGCCACGTTGGTCGTGTCCTCTGGCCATATGTCCACATCCCTAAAGCGGGGATCCTTGCCACCTGAGAGGTCTCTGCTTCTGTTCTGGAGTTGAAGGACAACCTCTGGGGCTTCCCGCATCTCTGGGCGCAGCCCGGACCGCTCCAGGAACTACAGTTCTCTTCCTGCAGGTGCGTGGCCGTGATGATGAACGGGCTGTCACCAAGCACCATCAAGAAGTTCTACCTGGCAGGATGCAAGGTGAGAACAACCTGGGCAGGGCACGTGGCCCCAGGGGGGCCTTCAAGACCACTATAAATGCTGGGATTTCATCCACCAGGCCCAGCCCCCCAAAAATCTATTTGAAGCCACTAACTGAAGGGTAGCAATATTTTATTTTGCCAAGTGAACACATTTATTTTTTTTTAAAAAAAAACATTATTTTTAAAAGGATGTTTTAACATCAAAAAATATAGAAAGACCTTAATTTTAGGAGAGGAAAAAAGCAGAACAGCCTTTCTCACCAAAATAGCAGACAACCTTCCAGCACATTCTTGCTGGAGTTGTGAGATCTTGCCCCACCGGGGTCCAGGCAGTGTGCCAGCATTGGGATTGAATGGCATGATCCAGGTGTCATTATCAAAGAAGAAAACTGAGAGCCAAGGAAGGCAGCAATTTGCCTGGAGGACAGCTTTTGAGGGGCAGGGCTGGGTCCAAACCTCAGGCCTCCTGGTTCCGTGGCCACAGTGACCTAGAGGGACACTCACACCGTGAGCAGACTCCTAAGGGTTGGTCCGAGTACAGCCAGCATGTTGCAGCGCTCCTGCCACCACGGCCCAACCTGTGCCCGTGGTGATTTGAAAGCCACTCTCTGTAGTACCTGCATTCTTGTCGGCATTTCTCAGCAACTTTTGGACCCAGGCCTTGAGGACATTAGAAGTGTACTAAGACCCTCTCAAGGTCCCCGGCTCCGGGAAGCCTTTTCCACTTTTTTCCTTGCCCTTTTATCCTTGCTTTTGGGGTGTGTGCTCCCAAAGCCTCAGAAATCCCCGTGGGGTACGCCCCTCGGGCCCTGTGTGCCCGTCACTGACTGTAGCCAGCACACAAGGCCTGTAGTCCGGCCACCTGGGTTTGCATCCAGCTCTGTCCCTGACTACTTGTGACCGCAGGTAAGAGCAGAAACCTGGGAGCCTCGGTTTCCCCAACAGTCAAATAGATAGTAGTGAACAAACTTTATAAGGCCACAATGAGTATCAATTTAAACCAACCGAGTGCAGTGCCTTGAGCACAGCACACACTCGGGAAGCAGTATCTGCTATCACCTGTGTATTTTGTAGAAAGGGTATGAGCACAACTGCAGCCGGACGCTCCTCTGAGCACGTGTGTAGCATCGGGGCAGGCCAGCAGAGGGCGCCAAGAGCCCAGGACTTCATCAACTGGCTTTTCTTGCCTTCTCAGTACAAGGAGGAGCAGCTCACCACCGCCTGTGAGAACTGGCTGGCGATGAACTTGGTCCCTCTGGTGGGGACACAGATCCACCTCCGGAAAATCCCACAGGACCTGCTCTACAAAGTGCTGAAGTCCCCCAGGTCAGAGCTGCTTCCGGGGGGTGCCACCTGGGGTGGGCATGGGAAGAAGTGGGGGCCAGCGTGGGCGGGAGGTGGCCAGTGGGGCTGCACCCACACCCCTGCCGGACGTGCCTGGTCCTTCCTGATCCCAGATGTCCTGCCCTCCTGGACAGTGGGCCTTGGCTGGGGCCCAAACTCAGGGAAATGTGTTTGGGTTGGGGAGGGGGCTCCTTTCAAGTCCCTCCTTCAGGGAAGGGACCTTCTGGGTGCACTGTCTCTCACCTACCTGAGTGCAAAAAGTGAAAGACTTTATTGGCTAAGCAATTTTTAAAAAAATTCCTGACAACATTAATACACATTCATTATACGTATAAAACCTCTCAGCTTAAATCAGTTTATGTCTCCAGCCCCAGCTCCTCTCTAGACCCAGACATTCAACTGCCTGCTCGACCCTTCTGGCCATTAAGGCTAAAGCCCAACTCTTGGTGACCCCTGACCTTTACTGTACCTCCACCCCTCCCCCAGTGTTCCTTTACCATCTGACCAGCTGCTCAAGTGAGAACCTTGAGAGTCTCTCTGGCCCCCGACCCTGAGGTCAGTTCCACTTCCAGATGGAACCCAGCTCTCTGGGCCTCTCTCCATGGGCACCCCCCCAGCCAGAGGCCAAGCTTCCATCATTTTAGGTGGTCCACCATGGGGATCGCTACTCCATCTCACTTCTGGTCTGCACCCTGCTCCAATCACACTGGAGCCGGGGGCTCTCCCTCTGTGATCTGGCTGCATCTCATGCACCGTGTGGCAGCCCCAGGGCCCTTTCCGAGACGTCCCTGCAGAGCCTCACCTGCACGGGCCTCTGTGCTTGCCCACCCTCCTGCCTGAAATGCCAGTCCTGGCCAGGTTCCTTCTCATCCTTCCAGCAATTCATGGAGCCATTCCCTGATGCTGGGCTTTTTAGGTCATTTCCAGTGTTTTACCAATATAAATAGCACCTTGGTGAACATCTTTCAATGTTCATTTACCTTCACCTTAGATTATTTCCCCACATTGAATTCCTAGAAGTGAAATGACTAAGTCAGAAGGACTTGGTGTTTGTTTATATTAGTCTTTTAAAAAGTATTTTATTTGAAAATCATTTCAAACTTAAAGAAACATGGCAAGAACAGTACAAAGAATACCTATGAATATATACCCCGTACCCTGAGTCACCCTATTCAATTTTGCTGTGTTTCTCATTTGCATCTCATTTACATATACACATCTTTTTCGTTTTTTTCTGGACTTTTGGGGGTAAGTTGTTTATACCTCATGCTCCTTTACTCCATATGCTCCAGTCTTTATTTTGTAAGAAAAAGAAATTTTTACTATAACGGCAGTGTATTTATCAACTTCAAGAAATTTAACATCAATGTAACACTTTGACATCATTTATCCAATACTGTCCTCTGTAGCATGTTGCTTCCCTGCAGTGTTTAGGATCACATGTTGCATTTAGCTGTCATGTCTCTTTAGGACTCTTTTAGAAAGGTTCTTGGTACCCATTGCCAGTTACCAAGATTTCACTCCTTCTGGGGGAATTTCAAAAGTGAACACTAAATGCTACTAAAACTCTTAGTGGTATATTCGAAAATAAGTGTTTGCTCATGTTTATGTGATGGAAAGCATTCTGATTTCAGAAATTAGATCCAGAAAGATTTATTCTGCTGTTGGTTTGAATTTGCTAAGTAGCATGCAGCGCCCTCACGCTTACGGAGACGGGAGGGTGGCAGAACAGAGTTCTGGTGTCCGGGGAGACCATGTCACCTAGGAGGACCCCAGGAGCCCCAGCCCAGGGTGCGAGGAGTGTCCAGAGTCATGCCACTGTGCTCCTCTCTGCTTTTCCCCGCCTGGGCACTTCTCCCTCCAACAGAGCAAAGGTTACGCAATCATAGAAGAAAAGATAAACATGGCATCCCTTAGACTTTTCGTAACACTGTCCCTCCCTTGGAAAGGCTGAGCTGTCCCACGCTGGTAGCATTTAACCAAGAAAGGAGAGAAAAGTGTCTGACCGCAGGCAGAACGTTCGTGGTGGGATAAGCCTGACAAAGCGTACGCAGGGCAGGAAAGGAGGTCAGGAACATTACGTGGCAAGTGTCTAGACTCAGCAGCTTGGCAGACATGACCGATGTGGAAAATGGGTCCTGCTCCTCCGGCCCCTCCCCAGGAGCTGTCTGCACAGACAGTCCAGGGCTATCCTGGCTCGAGAGGGGAGAGCCCTGCGTGGCTGCGGGCATGTCATCGCCTGTGAGCCCCGCTAAGGGCTCCCCCACTCGGGCTTACATATATGAGGTTGATCTCCAGTGGCCACCTGCTTTAAAGCTTGAGGGAGGTGGGAGACGGGGCACAGAAAGAGGAGGGCTTGTTAGAAGTTTAGCCGGGCCAGGGCTTCTCATCGTAGGGTGCTTGCTGAGTTTCAGGCTGCCACGGCCCACACCCGACTCAGAGCGTACCTTCCGGCCAGCTTGCCGTTTGGCGCGTGCTGTGTGCTGTGTCACTGGCCTTTCTACCCCCGCAACCTCCTGCTGCAGGCGCAATTATTACCCCTGAGATAAGAGGGGCTAACGATGGCCAGGGTGGGGCCTCCACTGGCTCCAAAGTCCACGTCCTGCCCCTGCGCCACACCCTCCTCCTCCTGTGAGGGAGGCCGAGGTTCCAGCGACTGGAAGGACACAGCGAGAACTGGGTGGTCCTGAGGACCCCGCTGCAGATGCACGGAAATGCCAAATGCCAACATCCCGACGTCTGGGTGGAGCATCCCTCGGCCCCACCCCCCTGCCCTTCAGCCACCAGCTGTGGCCAGCCCCTCGGCCTGCGGTCGCAGGTGTTCTGAACAGCATCCACTTCTTAGCAGGTGCTGCCACTTCCAGGCCATTCGGCCGTCCCCCTCTAAATCCTTTGACTTCATCTTCCTGTGTTTTTTTTTTTTTTTCCATTTTGTAAACAACCTGGGGTAAAATATGCACAGCTGTCCTGACCTAATGGGCCTCTGGTTTTAAGTTACTTGCCTGGGCATTTGATTTTCAGTTAATTTTCTTCTGAGAGGTCACTGCTGGGTTACCCTGTTCTACTAACGCTCACATTAAGAAATCTTCATTCCAAGTTCAGTTTTCCTGGAAGCCAAGCTCCTTGTGGACTTAGGAGGATGGAGCCCTCAGAGGGCTATCTAGCTCCTGTCTGTGCAGAAGGCTACCTTGCAGCCGGGGCACTGTGTCCCTCATGTTTCCAAGTCTCCCCGACGTCATGTCGATGATTCAAAGAGTCTCTGGTCTCAGGAATTCCCTAGGAAGAGCTACCCATGTCCGACTGTCACACCTGTCCCACGGCTTGTCCTCCAGCGTGGGTCACAGTTCCCATTATTGTCAGGAGCACCCCTGGGCATCTGTCTCAAAGGTAATAGCTCCTGAAGCTTCTCTACTAATAATACAGTACCTGCCAATTATTGACGCTAGCTGTATACTGAGCATGCTGAGTGGGTCATCCAGACGAATTCCCATGGCAACCCAATGTGGTGAGTACTGCTACCATTTGCCAGTGGAGTGGAGATTACAGGAAATGACGGATTACCCTAAGGTCCCCCATGCAACAGGAGAGTTGGGATTCAAACCCAGGTCCTAGTGGCCTGAGAGCCCGTGGTCATGGCCAGCCCACTGGTGTGCTCTGCACGAGGCCTTCCTTTTCCTTATTGATGATGGTCAAGATCAATAAGAATATTGATATTATTTTTTATTGTAAAAAAATTATAGAATAATACAATTATACTCATTTCTCCAAATGAACAGATAGTAACATTTTGTCTTAAAAAAAAAAATCAAACATTACCAAGAAAGCAGAAATCACTGATGTTGCCTCCCCCCCTCCATCCTGTCCCCTTCCTCATTTTCTGCCCCCCCCCCCGCCCCTTCCTAAAGTCAATCAAACCACTGTTAGGAACTTGCTTGGATCCAATCCATGTGATTATTCTTTTACATATGTGTGGATCCTTAACTAACGTGCAATGTTCGTTCACAAAAGTTTAAACTTCAAATAATTGTTCTCAGTGATCGTAACATTCTGCAACTTATTCACTAACATCGTGTTGTGTTCTCTCCATGTTGATATTTACATATCTAATTAGCATTTAAAATTTAATTGAGCCAGGCGCGGTGGCTCACGCCTGTAATCCTAGCTCTCTGGGAGGCCGAGGTGGGTGGATCGTTTGAGTTCAGGAGTTCGAAACCAACCTGAGCAAGAGCGAGACCCCGTCTCTACTATAAACAAAAAGAAATTAATTGGCCAACTAATATATATACAAAAAAATTAGCCGGGCATGGTGGCTCATGCCTGTAGTCCCAGCTACTCGGGAGGCTGAGGCAGAAGGATTGCTTGAGCCCAGGAGTTTGAGGTTGCTGTGAGCTAGGCTGACGCCACGGCACTCACTCTAGCCTGGGCAACAAAAGTGAGACTCTGTCTCAAAAAAAAAAAAAAGTAAAATAAAATAAAATTTAATTGTACAGGTTTCTACCGAACAAATACACAGCAGTCTTTTTTCATTCCCTTCCTGATGGCCTTTGTTTTACTTTGTCTTGTTTGTTTTTTCACTACGACAAACGGTGCTGCCATGGGCATCCTTGTTCTTAGCTTGTTCACATGGGCAGAGCTTCCTCTATCGGTCTCCATTCAAAAGGGGGCTTTTGTTATTTACACCCAATTTTCTCAATGAAAAATAGGGGGATGGTTGTCTTCTGAAAAACGTTTTTTTCTCCTAAAGAACAAAGACCAGTTGGCTACATTCTCACGGCCGCTAGTGAGCACCAGTAAACAGTCGGCAGCCCAGGTGTTCACCCATGTTGGAGGGGGTTTGGAGCCGCTGTGAGTTCTGTCTTGACTGAGGCCGTCAGAGCTCTTAGGTAAATGAAAATGTGCTTGAATGACCTTGGTGTGGTTACTTGTTGCAGGAACTAATACTTCCACGTATTGACGTTGGCTTAAAGGCAGAGGGCTTTACTTCACTATTTATCCTCCATAAATAAAACCAGGGTTCTGATTCATGCATGGCCCCTGCATTGCCGCTGGCCCCTCTGCAGTAAGATCTCAGAGAACCTTCAGGGTTTGATGACTTCAAGCGTGGAGTCTACACTGGCAGTCATGTCACTTCCTGGCCCTGCTGACAAGGCTCTCTGGGGGGGGGGTTATCACACCAAAGGCGCTGAGAAGTCCCCCTACCCGCCAACTGTGGTTGCCCAGACAGTGACGAACTCGGTCCTGTCTGGCCAGAGTCAAGGCCATGCATTTGCAGATGGCCTGAGCGCCAAGTGAGAGGAGAGAGATGGTGCTGCTCTGTCCAGAAATAGCATGAGAGGTGGGTGACATTTCCCCTGACCTTCAGAGTCACAGTTTGGCTTGGATTCCACCCACCACAACCACTGGAAGTGGTGAACGAAGAGGCTATGACATATTTTAAAGCCCAGGTGCTATGTCCATGGTCAGGGACCAAAAATATCAACAGGCTTGAGAAATGTCGAAACGGCGTCGTAGATAACCATCGGGGGCTGTTAGAGAAGGCTCGTGGGAAACTTCTGCACTGTGCAGAGCTGACGTTTTGGGGCAGCAGCCACTCCTTGGCACCCCTAGTCTCCTGAGGACAGGCCTCAGGCTGCTGCAGGCCCCGTGCGGGCTCGGGAGCCGGCACCCAGCCCGGGCCCTCGTGAACAAGGGCTGCCATCCGCTGAGCGCACGACCATGCGCCAGGCACGGTGCCACGCACTCTGTCTCTGTGTGGTCAGGAGAATAACGGCCCCAGAGATGTCCACGTCCCGATCCCCACAACCTGCGGTGATGTCCGTTTCTGTGGCAAAGGGAAAGCAAGGCTGCAGATGGAACCAAGGTCGATAATCAGATGACTTTAAAATGAGGAGGTTATCCTGGATTGCTGTGGCCCGAGTGGTCACGAGCATGCTTTACATGGGAAGAGGGAGGCAGAAGAGTCAGGCCAGAGAGAGATTGAAGACACTGTGCTTCAAAGCATTGATCGAGGAAGACGCCACAAGCCAAGGAACACGCGTGGCTTCTAGGACATAACTCTCCCTCGCCCTCCGGAAGGAACACAGCCCTGCTGCCACCTTGATCTTGGCTCATCTTGTGCTTCTGACCTCCAGAACTATGAGAGAATAAATTTGTGTCGTTTTAAGCCACTTGGTTCATGACAATTTGTTACAGCAGCAACAGGAAACCCACGTAACATCTGTTCCTCCCCACTGTCCTCTGAGCAGCTGCTGTGATCTCTCTTCGCTTAGGAGGAAACCGCACCTGCGGGGCAGCTGAGTAATTGCAGGGGCTGCCGCAGCCAGGGTGGGGCAGAACCGAGATTCTAGCCTGTCCCGTGCCCGGGTCTGAGCCTGGAATGCTGTGACCTTTGACAAGTTATTGGGGTTTCAGCCCCTCAGTCAGGGCCAGGACCGGGGCAAGGTGAGTGAGGCACTCATCTCGGGTGTCGAATGTAAGGGGCACCCACAAAACTCAATCATCATGATAAAGTGTATTATAGTGCAATTATTTTAAAATTAAAGTTAGTGCAGAAATCCACGATGAACAGAATATTAAAATTTTAAATGAACATAGGGTTGGTCTCAATTTCTACATTAATAAAAGTAAGGGCTATATCCCAACTTTGGTGTGTGGAATTAAATAAAAGAATCAACAGAAAACATCTTCAGAAGACCTGGCACATAGTAAGAGCTCATTAAGTGATGGCGTTTTTTTCTTCGTTATTTTCTGGCAGGGGGACGGTAGGTGGGTGAAAACACAGGTCCCAGTGTCAGGCTGCTAAGATTCAAATCCCAGCCCTGTCAGATAGCAGTTGAGTGACCTTGAGCAAGTCATTTAACCCCTCTTTGTTTGAGGCAACCTGCAGGCCCCACGGTGGTTCCTCACTCCTAAACTCACTTTAACTCTGTTCTCTTAACCAACAGCATGGTTTGGTTTCTTTGTTTTTTTTTGTTGTTTGTTTTTTTGCTATTCCTAAAATTTCTTCTCAATCTTTTATTTTGGACAGGTTGTTCACCTTTAGTGAATTTCATCTTCTGAAAACAGTACTCCTGTGGGTCTTCTTGCAACTAAACAACAAAGTTCAGACAATTCCAATTTATGAGACCGTGTTGGCATTTTTTACCAGGTAACACAACTTAGTGTCGATGGATGAAATGTACTTGCACTGTTTTTTCTTTTGTTCCTAATATCATCGGGGGGAAAGGCATCGGGCATGTAATTTTTATAGCATCATCCAGAGTGCAGCTTTCTTTATGGGACCTAAGACTGTGGGAAGTCTTTGAACCACTAAATTACTTGCAAAAGTAAATAACATGTAGGTGTTATTTGTATGAGATAATCACATGCTTCTGGGAACTTGCTGTGTGTCCAGTCATAGGCATGATGCAAAAGGTACTCCTTTCTTTCAGGAAAATTACCCTACAGCACTGACCTTAAAAAATTCATTTTTATAATGTACTTAAATCAGACCAGGTCACTCTTGTTTATTTTTCACCAGATCGCATAAAATTCTAGACAGATGAAAAAGCACTTGAATGTACAAAGGTTTCACAGCGTTAATCCAGTTTCTTATACTCTCTAAACTTATAAATTCTAAAAGAAAAATAACAATTACAGTAATAATAATGGGCACCATTTAAATATGGTTTGCTAAGTGCCGTTGCTCATACGCCCTATCTATTTGTCATTTCATTTAATCTTCATAATGCTAAGGGGCTGGTTTTATTATTCCCATTTTACAGATGAAGAAACTAAGGTAGAGATGAAATACCTTGTCAGAGACTGTGCAATTGGTAAGGGAGGGAGCCTGACTTGAACCCAGACCTGCCAAAGCTGCAGCCCTGCTCTGCTGCCAGTTCTTAGTGCAGGAGAAATATTCCTCTCCGTGCCTGCGCAGGTTGGTTCGGTAGCAGCTTTTTGGGCACAGGGTTTAGAAAGACCCTGAGGCTGCCTCGAGATTCAGTGCTTGGTCATTTTCAGCCGAGGACTTCTGAAATTGCCCTGCAGCGCACCTTGTGCCCCGCCCCTGTGTCTTTGGCCATGCGTGTTTGCTGTCTGTGCAGTGGAGAGGGCCCCGGGAGCAAAGCTGCTGTAGCAGCCGGGCAGCGTGGGGCGGGGAGCAGGCTGGGGGCAGGGTGAAAGGGTAGTTGAGGGGCTGCGTTCGTTTTGTGTGCCCTTAGCTTCGATGACAACATTGTGGAACATGCTCACATCCCCCAAGCTGCTGTGCAGTGTGATGACCTGTAGCCAAAGACAGTCCCAGGTGGCCTCAGTGGATCAGCCCTGGACTGGGAGTGACGGGGAGCATTAGGTTCATTGTCAAGTTTGTGTCCCTGCTCCCCACCGCGCAGGAATGGGGGCTTCCAAGCCTGATAAGGCGTCTTCAAGGAAGTAAAGACACTCCATTTCTTCTGCACGTGTGACTTCAGCAGATAAGCGCGTCTCCATATAGTAATCAGCACACTGACCTGCTGAGGCCAAGTTTCATCGGCAGTGTTTTGAAGCATTTAATCCATTCCTGGAACATCTGTGTGGCAAGTTAACTAAAGAGCCCATTTTATTCTGCCTCGTTATTTGAGGAAAGTAGTACTCAGTGCCGGAATTATGTGTACTTTGCTCAGTTTCTATATAATTTGCTTTGAACCCAAATGTTTTACCCCCGCCCCCACTCTTTTAATAGCCCGTGAGACGCCTTTTCCAGTGAGTCATGCACACCAGGAGAAATTGCCATTTGGCTCCAGGACAGCTCTCGCCCTGGAAGCGTCTTAGCTCTGGGAGATAGGAAAAGAGCTAGAATGTGGTGATTCACTGGAGCTGTGTTTTTAACATGGAAGAAGCAAGTGGGAAGGAGGGGGTTATGGTGTGTGGCTTCCGCTGCCTTCCGTGGCACTCCTGAGCCGGGACTCCAGGGCTCTTCCCCGGAGTGTCAGGCACATGGGTGTTTCTCACCACCATGGCTTTTCCATTTTCTTCTGCATCTGCACTCATTGGATTTTGACCCCCAAGCCTCACGCCTCCAGGCAGCATTTCTGCAAGCCCCTGATCCTGCATGACTTTCCTTGTTAGAAACCATTGGCTTGTTCCCAAGTCCTGACACTGCCCCAACCTAAGCAAGGCTGATAGTATCTTCCAAAGGGGCCTGAATCTTCTCACTGCAGCACAGGGGTGGCTCCAGATGGCCAGCACTGTGGTGTCCCTCCCCTCCTTCTCCCCCTGCCCGCCCCACTCTCCAAGCTTTGAGGCCAACTGGGAGAAAAGATGGGAAAGCATGGAGCTCGGACACTCTCCTGCAGCCGTGCAGGCCCACTCTGCCCTTGGCCTCCTTGCTCGGAAGACCATGTGGCCCATTTTTAGATTGTAGCTGATTCTGCCGTCCTGCTCGCTCTTCCTGCTCCAGAGTGGTGGCACCTCTAAGTGTGCCCTTGTCAACAGCCTCCACCTCCCAAATGCATCTCCTGAGCCCCAGGATCCTGCTCCCAACCTCCTTAGCCTGCTCTGCCTCCTCTCTCAGTTGGCCTGTGAAGGGGGCCACTCAACAGAGCCTCTCTCTGGGCCCCCATGAGCTCCTGGACTCATTTACATCCTGCCTCCCTTGGTTCATCATAAGCAGCTTAAAGAAAGAGTTCATGGTCCTTTATCTTAACCCCAACCTACCTGGCACCTTGCTGGACGCATAATAGCTTAGTGAATGATGAGCTTCCACCAAACATTTCTATGTACCAGTAGCTCGGTCCCCCATAGAGAGGTGGGTCTTACTATGCTCATGCAAAATTCAGAGAACACCACTACTGTGGCCACTTGCACTAATAGGGACTGCAGACAAATTTCCTTTGTTATTGCTGCAAATTTCCTTTGTTATTGCTGTGTAGTGCCTGTTGGGTGCGCCAGACCCAGAAGGAGCCTGAGCTCTTCCCTAGGCCCAGAGAGGGAAAAGGTTGTGGTAGGTTAGTGGTGTCTACCCTGAACCTGAGAGTGGGGACTGGTGGCAGCTGTGCCAGTGTGTGCCACCCCTTCCCGAGGACCCCCAGGGCTGACCAGTGGCCATGCAGGGCCTTTCGTGGCTGCTGGCCGGGCTGGCTGGTGGCCAGAGGGCTCTGGCTGTGGCGGGAGCTGCTCCCCATGGAGGCGGAGGGAGCCTGCGTGGAGTCGGGGTCAGCCTGGGCCAGCATCCGGTGCAGGGGAGCTGAGCTACAACGTTCAGTGGGCAAGGGGAACAGCTAGTCGAGGGAGTTTGAGAGGCCGCTGCCTGGAAAGGGCCAGAAGCATTTAAAGGTGGGAGAGATGAGCTGGCCCCCAGGGAGGCAGTAAACGGCCTCAGGAACGAGAGCAGAGGAAGTTGGGTATTTGGCCCAATTATTAAAGTTACAAATACTGATGAAATAATTATTATTAATTATTATTCGGACGGAGTGATCTATAAGCTACCTTCCAGGGAGAGGGACGTGTTGAGGCCGCCACACTTTGGGGACCTCCACGATGGGGCTGTACTTTCATTACGCGGCAGCAGGGGCTGAGGGGTGAGGCTGAGCTGCAGCTGAGGGCGCGGCCCCGGCCAGCCCAGCACCCAGAGTCAGCTGTCCCTGTCCCCGCCTGTCTCAGCAGCGTCCGGAAGACTAGCGAGGGGGGAATGTCGCTGAATAATTGATTCCTCCAGCTACGACTCTACCTGCAAATAAACACATATGTCCAAGCCGCTCACATTTTCTTTTGTTTGTTGATTTTTTTTCAATCTTTCATTCATTCAACAAATATTTGTCGAACACACACCGTGAGCCGGAGACGCCAATGGAACATTGACGGGGCAGGTTCTCTACCGAGCCAGATGTTTTGGGAAAACTCTGAACCTATTTTTGTTGCTGTCTGAGAACATCAATATAGGAAAGGAACACATAAGCACGCACATGTGCCCACAAATTCACATACAATTACACATATGTGTGTGTGTGCGCGCACACACACACACACACCCCTCTGCACCTCACAGCCTGTTTTCCTGGCAGTGGTTATTTTAGAAAAACAAATAGGCTGTCCAGAATTAAATTTAACATCTCCTTGCAGGAAAAACAAAAAAATGTAAGCAAAGCTGTTGCCTTCATCCCTGGAGGAAAAGTCATTATTTTGTTCCACTTAGCGGTCTGAGAAGTTCAGGAAAGCTATAAAAGCTCATAATTGGAAAGGGTCCATTAGCAGGCAAGTTTTTAACTTTTTAAAAGTACCTTTTTAATCAAAGTATAAAATACACACAGAAAAGTGCTCAAACCTTAAATGAACAGCTCAATGAATTTCCAAAAAGTGGACACACCAGTGTAACCAACATCCCGACCAAGGCATGGAACATGGCCAGCCCCCTAAAGCGGTTCAGCTCAGTCACTGCCCCCTCACCCGAAGGTAAATGATGTCCTGACTTGTTTTACCATCCATGCATCTGTCCTGCTTTTGAACTTTATGTAAATAGAATCCTATAGGGTACACTTTCTAACATCTGACTTGTTTCACTCAACAGTATATCTGTAAAATCTGTTCATGTGGTTTGCATGTAGCAATAGCTTGTTCATTCTCATACAATATTTTATTATATGATTACACCACAATTTATTCTGATGTTGATGGATGATGTTTCGGCTACTAGGAATAGTGCTGCTATATACAGCCGTGCACATGTCTTTTGGTACATGTAATTATGTGCTTCTACTGGCTATAACCTAGGAGTAGAATTACTGTGTCATAGGACATGAAGAAGCTCAACGTTACTAAATGCTGCCAAACAGTTTTGCAAAGTGGTTGTGCGAATTTATTCCCTAACCAGAAGTCTATTAGCAGGCAAATTTTCTGATTGTAGCAGGCAAAAATTTTAGCAGGCAAAAATTTAGCAGGCAAAAATTCTGATTTTTCCATATCCTTGCCAACCTTGGTATTTTCAATCTTTTACTTTTCCAATGGATGGGTAGTGGGGCTAGTTTGCCTATATTCTTTCAATTTACTTCTCCCTACTGATGAGGTTGAGCATCTCCTTATTTATTAACCATGTGTAATATTTTGTTGTCTCTATTGCAAATAGTATCATTTTGAAATTTTTATATTCTAATTGTTTGTTGCCAGCATATAGAAGGATAACAGTTTTTGTAT